ACTCGCGCTTTCTCCCATGCGTGGGCAATGATGTAACGCGGGATGCACAAGCTTGCTGACACAATATCGACTGGAGTGTTGGACTGGTCGAGGTGGCCTCCCTTGTTGGCCAGGGCGTCAGCTCAGTCGTTCCCGTAGATGTCGCAATGTCCTGGTATCCATTGTATGTGAAGGTGTCCGTGGATTTCACAGCATTGGCAGATAGTGGTCCACATTTTGTCCTCTATCTCAGTACGAACTGCAGTCACTCCGGACATTAAGTGTTGAACAACTGACTGGGAGTCCGTGAAGATGTGGATTCTTTGAAAACGTGGTTGTTTTTGCAGCCATTGCAGTGCGCGGAGCAGGGCGGTAGTTTCAGCTCGGTAGCTGCTTCCGTATAGTCCCGCGGGCACGGATACGCATGTTTCCTCCCCAGAAGATTTGTCTAGACACCAGTATCCTCCACCACATAACCTGTAGCCGTCGGTGGCATGGCCGTCAGTGAAGATATCGAGGTCGGACGTAGGCAATCGGCGCACAGTCTCGAGAGCTGCTTCATGTAGCATATTAGGTGGATCAGTTTTTGTCGTAGACACTGCAAGTTTTGAGTTGATTGTGAGGTTGCAGGGGGTCTTCCACGGGGGAGTTGTACTCACTGGCCGCAGGGGTTCTCGGATTAGATGTTCTAGTCCTGCGTTATAAGAGCTCTGTCGGCCCACTTCCCTTCAACTGTTGATGGACTTTAAGCGTATTTTTGATGTTCCTTCAGCTGAGACACGGATCGGGTTGTCTTCTGGTACTCTTCTTGCTCTCTCGTAAGTCACAGCAGTTGCAATGGTAGACTTAACCTCAAGTGGGATCAGGTGAGCTTCGTTTGTGAGCAGCATTGCATTTGAGTCTCTCGTACACCCAGTAATTATTCTGGATGATGAGTTTTGAACAACATTTAAGGTCTCACGATTTGTTTTCGCCATTGCTGGGAACCAGGCTGCGTGGGCATACTGGATGGCTGATCTGATGTACGCGATGTACACCATACGTAGATCTTCTTTGCTGCATCCCCAGTCTGTGCCGGAGATACGTCTGCAGGAGATGACGGAATCCACAATATGATGCTGACCCATCTTCCAGAAGCTGGCCTGAATTCTCTCTTGAATGTCTACAATAGAGTGTGGAAAACTGCCCAATACCCAGCAGCCTGGCGAAAAGGTACGATAATTCCTATCCTCAAAACCGGGAAGGACCCTGCCCAAATGACCTCGTACAGACCCATCCAACTAACAAGCTGCATAGGGAAATTATACGAGAGATTAGTGAAAGTGAGAATGGCGTTCTGGTTGGAAACCCAGCAAAAACTATGCAATATGCAAGCCGGTTTTCGACCACAGCGTAGCACAGAGGACCAGATTGCTAGGATAATGCAACACATAGCCGACAACTTTCAGGACAACTCTGGACCAAGACACAAAGCAAAGAGAACCATACTCTGTCTAATAGACTTTTCAAGAGCCTTTGACAAGGTGTGGCATACTGGACTTCTCTACAAGATAAACGCCTTAGGAATGCCCACCTGTCTACAACGACAGATCAAGGCCTTTCTAGATGACAGAAGGTCCAGAGTTCATTTTGAGAGAAAAGAAAGTCGCTACTATCGCTTCCTCGCCGACGTCCCTCAGGGTGGAGTATTATCACCTCTACTGTTCCTCATGTACATCAACGACATCGTAGATGACCTACCCGTAGACACCAACACCAGCCTCTTCGCAGACGACCTGGCAATATGGGCATCCCATGAAAATCTTGACACTGCCGCCACGATGGTTCAAGCCGCTCTGGACAAGATCTGCGATTGGTCAAAACGCTGGAAGATGGAAATTAACGTGGCGAAATGCGAATACTCTTTTTTCACAACATGGAACCGTGAAATGTGCTGGCGCACCCAGCTTACAATGGGAGATGAGGAGGTGCCCCATAACAAAACTTTCTCTTCGACCTCTTGGACTGACTTACATTTGATCACAATGTCTTGCTCAAGCAAGTTCTATTCAAAATATCACTTACTCACTAGTTGCGTCTGTGGGTTTTTTTTTTCAATTTCACGAACCATTTCCACCTATGTTCAGTGCATATATTCAAATGCTTTGAGTACTGTTTACATTTTTAGTAATAAATGGCTTAATTTGTCAAATATACTGGATCTGTTATTCAGTATGATGTTTTGCAATAGCACTGAAGTGTTTTAGCATATTAGCAAAAAGTACTCAAAATGTACTCAGAAGTACTTTTAAAAAAGTACTTGTACTCAAGTACAGTTACAGGAAATTACTTATACTGCACTTAAGTACATTTTTTAGATTGTACTTAAATTGTACTTATGTACCTTTTTAAAAGTACTTTAACAGCTCTGGATCTGGGCTTCTTATATAAGAAAAAACCGTTCAGCGGCGCTGTGAATAGTGAAAGTTAGATCTGGGCTTATCACATATAAGAAAATACGATTCGACGGCGCTTCGCATTGCGGAAGATAGGTCTGGGCTTATCACATATTATGAAAAAACTATTTGACGACGCTGTGAATAGCTAGGGGATGTAGAATAGCGGCACTTAGGTCTGGGTTTATGCTTATCATATGTGAGAGAAAAAAACATTCGATGGCGTATTTGAATGTTTTGATTAGTGAGCTCACGCTCCGAAGCTTTGGTGATTTTTAGTTTCCTCAAAATCGCACAGCACTAGTAATGACCCTCCATCTTTCACGGTCGTGAGCTGCCGTTGCAAATTCTGCCATATCCAGTCCAGTCCGTGTTCTTATTTTGTCCATCCTTGTTATTCTTTGCCTTCTGTTCCAATGTTTAAACCTTTCCTTCCATCCTTTGGATGGCTACCGTCAGACTGCTTCCCTCCTTTGGGGAATTTGGTTGCCATTGTCATCATTAGCGCTTCTCGGTGATGTGGAACTCGTTTCTTCCCTGTTTGTTTTTACAATAGGCATCGACCCGGCAGGGGGCCCAGAGGTGTCTGTATGACAGTTTCTTTTAATTTTATCGGTCATTACATTTCTTTGGGTAATCTGCCCTCAGAAAAAGTTGCATTTGAAAATAGCAAAAGTTGCAAAAAGTTGCAAGAAAAGTTAGCAAAAGTTGCAAGACGTGTATAGCTAAAACAATGCCACAGAACTATTGGAATACATTGTTGCTATGCCAAGGAGTTTACAGTAGTTCTAAACTCCTTGTGCTATGCTCATTGCAATCAAAAGTAACCAAGATGAGTTTTGTTGGATCAGAATCAGAAGTTAAATGTGAATGTCTACCCAAAAACAAAAAAAAACTGCCTGGAGGTTGCATGGTGTACGAAAACAGTTTGTCCCTTGACATATGGGTCTGGTCCTTACACTCTCGCTGACATTGGGCAGGTGTGACCAGCGTGGTTTTGGTGCTGTTCAAATATAATCTTACACTTTGTTTGGAACTTTTTGCCTCCCCTCCTCCCAAGGACATTTATATGTTTCATGCCCCCCCCCCCCCCCCCCCCCCCACCCGACCTCAACCCGCAATATTACGTTATTTGCTTATAATAATAATATGACATTTATATCGCGCAAATCCGTGGTACAATCACTCTTCGATGGGCTTTACTTTTAAATTAGGCCGTTTAAATTATTAATTATAGTATTAATGAAAAACATACATACACACACGTGACATAATAATTAAATACGGTACAAGCGGAACTTTTCCAGAAAAACTTACGGTGTCATTTTACCACTTTAACCGCATTGGTGTAATCAAAAGTAGACTATCTATATGTCATGTAGTCTAGATATCTACGAGTGTATAATGTGCGAGATGGCATATAATATATCGTGCTTGCCGCCCGAGGTCTACTGTATCGCCACAATGCAGTGCTTACCGCGCGAACTTACTCTAAGTGAATAATGTTGTTCCTCTCTTTTTATGTTTTTTTTTTTTTATTGCGTTGTCATAAATTACATTTTCCTTAATTATTTTTTCACCTTACAAAAGTGTAATCTTACATTGGTTCACCTCCCCCCCCCCCCCCTCTTTCTTCTTTCTTACTTTAATTTTACAGGAGTCAAAGACTCTCTCCCCGCCCCCCCCTTTTTTTTTTCCCAGGCGTAAGATGATATTATTTGAACGTCCCCTTTAGGGGTTTTCTGGATGAATCGATCCATGTCTAGATCTAGCCTCCTAGCCTAAGATTTAAAGTCTTTCACAAATTTTTATGCTAGACTTATCTACCTTGTGCTACGGAACCAAGCAAGCTAAGTAATCAGATGATCGTGTTTACGATTGATTTACTCTAGATCTAGATCTAGCTAGACTAGAAGTAGAAGATGATTCAGCCCAAACAAGAATATTGGGTCGGTTTGCTCGCCAGATTGATGGTGCAAAGCGGCTATCGTGGCACAAGTTGATCGCGCCCGACTCCTTGTTTCAAAACAAGCACGTTTTCTGGCGACGAGTCGGGCGATCATACCGACCCGACCTGACCCGGGCCCCGGGTCACTGGGCGGCAGCGGGCACCTGGTAGTGCAAAGGAGCGAATTGTCCATCTTGGCATCGTTGTTTTTAGTTGAAGAAGAGCACTTTTGTGTTTTTAATTAAATTTTTAAAAATTATTTTCCCAAATTTTGCTGGAAATTGGCAAAATTTAGCAAATTCACGAAAATGGTAAAAGTTGCGCTGAGGGCAAAAGTTGCACGTGCAACTTGTGGGTTGCGGGCGCGAATTTCTCTGAGGACAGGGTAATACGTGGTAAATTTCCTACCTTTTCCACGGTGGCCAGCCACAATCGTCTTTTGGGTCTTGACTTGCCCTAGTGAGCCACACACCTTGCTATCGTGCCTCAAGACTATTCAAATATCTTGTGAATCCTATGGCTGCTCTCTACATGATTAGGTTGTTACATTTTCAAGTTTCTTTTGGATGCCACTATATAAAAAATATATGCTTTTACTTCATAATGTCTGTCACTGTTCTGTATCTTATTGGCCACAGGACTGGTGTCAATGAACCACATCTTGCCCATAGAATACACAAGTACACTTGTTGTGCTACAGGATAAAGCCCTATCACGACAGCCACATGAGGTAAGTCTAATAATATGTGTGGCATGGTGGTGAAAACAGGCACTCAACAAACTAATGAATTTGATGAAACCTACATTTTCCTCGCTTTTGACAATTTTCATTGAATTTTGTTTCGGCTCAACACCTGTTTTGTCCATTCAATCCGCACATTTTCTAAATTCTTTTTGAATTTTAAGGAAATGCATTGATGAAAAGCACTTAGAATGTATTTTTTCAGTTTTTCAAGGTCACACAAGCTTGGAAGTCATCAAACTTTGATGACTATTATCTTGCTAATTTACCTCTGACACCAGGTGACTCCCACCTCCTTTAATGGCAAATATCTTGACTTCTATTGATATATGGGTATTTTTTTTTGGGTGCCAAAAGCAATACAAATAAACAAGCTTTAAGATGATATCAACAACTCCATAAGCCCCAGAATTGACAAGCGCCTGATTTCATCCTGATGACACTTTAACTATAGTTTTGGCTTTTACCCAAAATCAACATTAGGAAAAAATTATATTTGCTCGTAAGTCATTAAAGTAGCTTTTTTGCTTTCTGACGCAAAGAGGAAGAATCTCCCCAGTCGAAAGAGAATTGGATGCACTGTCATAAAACTAATATTTCTTGTAAATGGCAGATATGATCTGATTCATTGCTGCATGTAACCAGGGCTTTACACCACATATGGTTGGGACCTCAGAAGGGAATGGTTTGTTTATTTTATTTTATTTTGTCCTGTCCGAGACGTTCACCTGACTAAGATGATCACTTTTCTCCTCAACAATGGGTGGCTGTCTTTGACAATTTCAACTGTATTCTGTGAACTTTGCATAAATCTTGACTTTTTCTTTTTATGTGATATCTTATTTTTCTTTTGTTAATACTTATATTTTCTTTTTTATATACTAACAATGAATAAAATAGGTGGAACAGCTCTTTGAGGAGGACTTTGGCAAGAAACCATTGGAAATGTTTGCAGAGTTTGAAGATGAACCGCTTGCTGCTGCGAGCTTGGCCCAAGTACACAAAGCTAAGACTCATGATGGAGAATCGGTGGCTGTGAAGGTAATGTTTTCCTCTGCATATGTTTCTTTGCCTCCTGTTTTTTTTGTTGCTACATTTTTTGCTTGGAGCGTCTTGTATTAGTACAGTAGTGTCTGGTTAATGGCTTGCCAGATTAAAGCACGATCTCCCTTAAAGCATGTTGGCAGCTTAGAACGAAATTTTTGTTATATAATTATCACTTATAATAATCTAATATGTGTATGTTCTAATCGTCAACTCTGCTTAATAGCATGATCATTCCTGTTTTAGTGCCAGAAACAGATCGGCCTTAAAATGATTAATTTTTCTTGGAACTGCCAGAAATGATGGGCAAACCCCACATGGCGTCCTTTATTACTTGAAATTGCTGTTTTGCCAGGGAGAAAAAGACATATAGGGCAAAGGTGTTAAACAAAATTTTGCAATCAGGAAAACAAGTGACCGGCCATGCATGACAGATAGATAGTGTTATAAGAATGTGATAATTATGATGGCCTTTTTCAATGACGTTCATTTGTGAAGTGGTTCACGTCAGTTAATAAAAAAATTGACAGATGGCTTACTCTAGACGGATTACTCCCCTTTGATGTTCACCTAATAACATTAAAGCGCTATTTTATTGTCACCCGAAGTGCATGCTAATAGCTGGAGACCACTGTGATATTGCTGATGACTTCCTGCATAAAGTTGCTGAAGCCTTCGTTATCTTGTTTTCTTCTATTTAGTTGTATTATGTTGGAACTACTAAAATTTAGTATGGGTCCCTATACGCAAACCAGTGTCTTCGGACAGTAACATGTTAAGTACGTTACATTGACTTCCCGTGCCAGCTAGAATGTCATATAACATTGCAATATTGTGTCATCAATATGTCAACAACAGAACTCCCTCATATCGTACTGATCTCATCGAGATTTATGTTTCATCTAGATCACTAAGATCAGGCGATCAGTATGTTTTAAGAGTTTCTAGAAAAGGAGGTTAAAAAATTAGCTGAAAGATCGTTTGCCGACCTTGTCCCATCAGTTTGGAATTCTTTTCCCCAACCCGTGAGACATACAACATCTAAGTCTAAATTAAAAATATCTTTAAAGACACATTTAATGACATTATTTTTATGTCTGTAGATTCATGTTCAGTAGAATTTTATGTAAATGACTTATCCATTTATGTATTTTGCAAATTGCATTGCGTGTATTGTTTCATTATGTATTTGTATGTGCTTATTTCGTAATGATGTGCAAGGATGCGCATGTGATAAGCAAGTAGGTGTGTCTGTGTGCGAGTGTGTTTGGCGTGCATATAATATATGGGCATATGTATGCGTGTAATCTGTGCATGAGTGAGTGTGCGTGCGTGTGTGTGTGTGTGTGCGTGCGCATGTGTGTGTGCCTTCATGAATATTGTTCATACATGCATTTATGTAAAGCGCCTAGAGTTGTGTTCACACGGCGGTGGACGCTATAGAAATGATTATTATTATTACTAAACATAAATGCATTCAACATCTTGCTCTCACTGGCAAGATAAAAGGCAAAAGAGGTAGTTTAAGTAGAGAACATGAATAGATGAGTGACAGAAAAAGGTGTGGAAAATATAGATTTTTTAGAGCATCGTAGCACAGAAATAAGTGACGGCTGATCTGCTATTTGAATCATTCCATTGCCTTCAAAGTGTCCAAAATAACGTGGCTGGGCTTATTAAGAAAAGAACCCTCTCCACCCCAATTTTAAAGTTAAGAAAGCTGGTTGTCAATCAAAAGCTGTATTGAGTACAACACTGGTATTTTCTGTTTTAAATGTTTACACAACATTGCTTTCACTGTCTCTCGAACACCTTTAAAAATATGCACCAGCAAGAAGCCTCAGGTTGTGTAATGATAAAACAATTTTTTTCAACCCGTCAGTGAACTGCAAATTTTATGGATAGCGTGTCTTATGGTCCTCTGATCTGGAATGACTTTCCTAGATCTACAAGTAACTTGAGTTTGCTTGCAAGGTTTGAAAAAAAAAGGTAAAATCGCATCTTTGTGCTGAGCCATATTTTTAGCTTTCCCAACGTCTTGATCATTGTAATTCTATTAAAACTAGAGAGAGGGAGTGGGAAGAAAATGAGAGAGAATAAGAGAGAGAGAGAGAGAGAGAGAGAGAGAGAGAGAGAGAGAGAGAGAGAGAGAGAGAGAGAGAGAGAGAGATTATGTTCTTCCTATTGGAGATAGGCTAAACAGTAGTTTCCGCCTAAGATCTGGTGTTCGGGAGCAAGGAAAATGCGGGATCCTAGGCGAACGGGGATCTTAGCCGAATGACCAGGGGATGAATCGACAGTAACTCATGGTCAGGCCCAAAATCTGTACAATGATCTCCACTTACTTTAAAATGGACTGACGTGATTTTTAAAAAAATAATTTTTTTGGGGGGGGGGAGGGGGGGGTTTGGCTGTTAAAAGAATACTGTCAGGTGGGAATCAGTTGGCTTCTGGTAATGCCCCCCTCCAAAAATGTATTGCTTTCCATCTCTGACGGAGTTCCCCGCCCATGTCATGATGCTCCATAAATCGTTGTGTTGTGACCACACCGACTAATTAGAAAAATAAATGAAAGACAGGTTCACTGCCAACAGAAGACCCCATTACGCAAAGGCGATCGGTCTGCCTTGGAAGATCAAGCGCAATACTGAAAAACGAGAGGGATTGTTGGGTGAACACAAATGTCCACGAGTTCACAGATTGGTAGAATGCTGTCTGATGCTTGTTTGTAGGCCCTCCCTACCTAGTGTGTGATGTAAGATCAGGTGGACGGCTCAGGTGATCGGGGAAAGCTACAGGTTGACGACTTCACACCTTGGTGTGGTCCTGCTGGGGCAAACATTGTAACCGCTTATTGACCTTTGCAACAGAGGTTTGATCGCAATATTGAGAGTGGATGATCCATGACGCGATGGGCCGTACAATGATCGCACATTTTTGAAATTTGCTTGATCAACTGAGCGCTCCCAGGTTTCTTTTATCTTTTTCTTTTTCTTTTAAAAAAACGCGTCTAAATTATGACATGAAAATAAAAACGGGATCTTAACCGAATGTGGCTGCTTCAGTGTGGATCAGAGTGGGATCTTAGGGGTGACTTGTACTTGTATATAGGAAAAATTTTGTGTTTCCAAAACAGCGGGATCTTAGGCGAACGGGTCACCCGGGTGCCATAAACGATGGGATCTGCAGCGTAGACTGCAGCATTATATATATATTATACGTAAATGTAATTTATTATGATTATAAGAAGAAGAAAAGCATGTATGCTTGATCTGTGTCCAAGTTGTAATGGTCTGGCTCTTTTCTATAGCATACTGACAACTTGAGATTCATTCTTTAGTCTGTAGATTATTTTATCAAGTATTTGAGTCTTTATGTTGGGATTCAGTATCTCATTCAGTCAGTGTTTGCTGTACCGGGTAGGCTTGAAGCAGTCCACCTTCTAAATTATCTTAATTGTGTCAATGAAAAACCATATTGTTTTTGTGAGGCATCGTGATGAAATCAGGTCCCACAAAAATAATTAGGTCAAAGAAATCTGCAAGTTTTATTGATTTATCTCTTTTGGGCGTAACACCTTTTATGTCCATTTAAGGACACATTTCTTTGTGGATTTTCCCCAAAAATGTCAAGGCATAAAAAATGTAATTTTGCAGTTTCCAAGGACTCTCAGTCTTTTAAAGTTTTCAAACTTTGGCAGCCGTTTTCTCACTCTGCTACTGTTCGGCATACCTCCTTTAAATGCAAATAAGTCATTCTTCATTCAAGATTCAAGATAGACAGGTATTTTGCCATCTAAAGCAAGACAAAAGATCTAGTTTTCTGATGTTACCAATAATTCCATGTAACTAAAAATTGACGAGCCCTTGATTTCAGTGTGTCGTGACAAGTGCTTGTCATTTTTGGCTTGTGGACTTATTGGTGACATTAGAAAACTAGATAATTTGTGTTGCTTTTGATGACAAAATACTTGTCTATCTTAAATAGAATCCACACGGAAATGAGTTTTTAAACGAACATAAAAGGGGTTGAGCCCCCCCCCCAAAGAAAAGACAAGCATCGATAAATATTGCCAAACTGGCAAAAAAATGCTAATTTCTTCAATTTCATTATTTTGTTGAGTGCCTGATTTCACAACAATGCCTTCCATATATACATTCAGATGTGTCAGGTGTTGGGCCTGATTGTTATTGCAGGTTTTCCGTACTCTTCCATGTCCTCTGTGGTCTTTCCCAGTCTTTGGGCATTTTCAGAAATCACAGAGAGGGCTCTTGTGGTCTAGAGGTACAGTTTTCGCATCTTATTAACTCTTTAGGTTCCGGGTTGTTAAACCTGACTGCGAGAGAAAATTTTCTCCTGTCACCTCTTTTCTTGCTCTTTACCATGTCTCCACTTTCTGGTCTCCTGATTCTTTCCGCTACCTTTCTACTGCTACTCTTTGGCGCCTCCTCATTGCTGTCTTTCAGCCACACCCTTGATCTTGGGTTGGGTAAGATCTAGCACTTACCTTTCTCAGATAAGGGGGAATTATCTTGAAGGTCCTGTGTGCAAGGCAGTAGAGTAGGCTTAGGCTGCCTGGGGGGCAAAATTGTGTCCTTCATACTCCCATGACCTTATGCAGTTGTTAGTGCTGTAAAACACATACCAAAAAAAAGAAAGAAAAGAAAAGATTACAAAGATAGTATACTACGACATGATAACCTCTTTCATGTGGGGCACAAAGGAAAAATGTCATAGAAAGCGCCTGTGTTAGCATCTCTATTCAGTGTTTCAGATACTGTTCTAAGGGAGTGATGTATTTTATATCCATAGGGATTGAACAAAGTTTATTCTAAAGGAACAAAATACTTTTACCAGCACTGGCGGCTACATCACTAAAACCATATTGATTTTGTTGTACCATTTTTTAAAAAAGAGAGTGGCATAAAAATAAAAGCCTTTTTTTGAAACTCTGGTCGCTTTGGCACTTTTCAATCTTTCTTCATCTACATGATCAGTGCTATTGGAGATTTGATTTTAATTTCTAAGGTCCACCTCTCATACAACCCTGTGCCAAACTGTAAAGAAAAAATCATTTATGTCACGACGTGGTGGAATCGGGCGCTCGTTGATTTTTGGGCTTGCAAAGTTATTGGTATCATCTGATAGCTTATTCACTGGCCTTACTTTAAATGGAAAAAATACCCATTTATCTTAAATAGAAGCAGAGATATTTGCGATTAACGGAAGTAGGGTCACCTGGTTTCAGTGGAAAAATTAGCAAGAACATGGCCCCCAAAGTTTGGTAACTTCAGTAGCTTGAGAGTCCTTGAATACTGAAAATTACATATTGTGTGCCTTTAACAAATTAAATGTTTTTCAATAAAATTCACATGGAAATATGTTTTTATGCAGACTTAAAAGGTGTTGAGTGAAAAAACAAAAATTCCTTAAAAATTGCCAGACTGTTTCTTCTATTTCTTTATTGTGACGAGCGCCTGATTTCACCACGCTGCCTCACATTTAGTCCTTCAGGGTGAAGAATATCTAACATTGCGAAGTAAAACTTCTGTCGATAAGGAAAATTCTTTTGTTTTTCTTTGCATATTCATTAAAAGTTAGGAACTTTGAATAGAGATATAAGCTACTCTTATTTTGGGTTAGGAAAAGGTGATGAGCTGTAATAATTTCAGTCTTTATTTAAGATTGTCGCTGTTTAGTGTGTAAGGTTTCCTTTCTATATTTTATTCTTTGATTGTGTTGTTCGGTTGGAGTGAAAATATTTTTTGGTTACAAATTGTTTACGCTAACTCCAGTGGTATATGTGCACCAAGTGCAGCAAAATCTGGTAAGTATACCCTCTTATGAATTCTTGCATCGCTCAATGTAATCAGGGTGACAGGTGACGCAATGTGTATGGGCTGATGTTGAAATTTTTTCATGTCTTTCTCTCAGGTTCAGTACATTGACTTAAGAGATCGCTTCTCAGGGGACATGAAGACCTGTGAGATACTTCTCAAACTGGTGGGCTGGATTCATCCCAAATTTGGCTTTTCTTGGGTTTTACAAGTAAGAGATTTTTCAAATAACTTTTATTTGCTTTGTTTTCAAGAAAATTTATGAGAAACTCATGGACTGCACACTGTCTTTCCTCATCTGATACACTTCATAGAATTGATTATTCAGCGCTCATAGCAACTGTGAAATCACTCTTTCTGCCGTCCCTCCAAAAGGGAACCCCTCCTTTATTTAATGGGCTTTATGGCAGTCTTAAGTCATTATACGATGATAATGGATCCTGCTCATGTGGTATGTCTGTCCATAAAAGAATTGATGCTTATACCTTTTTTAATTTTTAGAATGGGAGATTTTGTTCTAAAGTTCTTACACATTTAAACCACTTGTTTGCAACTCAAAAATGTTCTTTTCCATTGTCTTTGTGTTATGATTGCTGTTTGCATTTAATTTTACAGGATTTGAAGCAGACTTTGAGACAGGAGCTTGATTTCGAAAATGAAGGTCAAAATGGAGAAGAATGTGCTAAGGATTTGTCTCATCTGAAATTTATATATGTACCTAAGGTCTATTGGAGCATGACCACCAAAGTAAGTTGTGTTTTAGTGACAGAGTTTGTTTGAATAAAGAGAAGTACATCGACACAATAATGGTCTTTTAGTTCAGTGAAAAAGTAAGACTGACAGACAGAAACAATAAAGATGTGACATATATAATATAGGGAAAGTAAAGAAATAGAACCTACCTGTAGTGCCCTCAATTAATTGTATAAAAAGATTGGGCTGTTCATATTTTTAACTGTTTAAGTTTCTTGTCTATAACTTTACTTGGGGGGGTGAGTTACTCACGTTAGAGTAACACAAATCACGCATAGTCAGAAAGCAGGCAGCAGCTCCGGTCTCAGGGGAAGTGCAAGTCAAGTGTGGGGCCGGACCGGTAAGTGTTAAAGCAGGTATGTTGAACAGTAGCAGAGTGAGAACCTTCCAGTAGTGCCCTCAATTAATTGAATAAAAAGATTTCACTATTGAGGCTTGTTCCACTTTTAGACAAAAATAACTTTAACAAAAGTAAAATAGTAGCCAACTGAGAGAATGAAGTATATGACTGTAAATATCATAACGTTGGATACTGGAATAGAAAGAAAATGTTTTGAAGTTATGTTTGCTGAGAGTGTTTATGTTCTAGGTTGTTCTTATCTCTGGTAGACCTATTGTAGTCGTCTGACGGAAAGTCATATTCCATTTACATTTATATTTTACTCTCCAGTGAGTATTACTTGATTTTCTGAGAAGCCATAATGTTTGAATAAGGTGAGAACGAGCAGTTAGCAAAAGTGTAATAGTGACCCTGATGGCAATACAGCCGTCGGTCAATCCCCTTTTTATGCTAATGAAATGTATGAAGTGATCATGCCTTGTTTTTATGTATTATCGGCATGGTTGAGGTAAGACATTGGCTGTGCATGTGACAGGAGCAAGCGAAATGGTTTACACTATTACAAGTATTACCAGCAATGCCACAACACGATGGGTTTATTAATGGATGACTTATTTGGACTATAAGTAGCTCCCCTTATTTTGGCTATTTGTAGTCTAAATGAGGTAACCACCTCTGGGTAAGCTTATTTGGGTTCCACTCACTGACATGACCGAATGTCTCTCCCCTCTGGGCCTGCAAGGCTTGTAGGTTGCAACCTTTATGTGTGTAATCCACTGTATCACATAGATCTGGGAGGGGAGGATTACGCATTCTCTTGAAACTGAACTTCAGAAGCGTTCTTAAGTTTTGGCCCTGGCACCAATGACAGCAAAGATTACTGTAATTGTAACTCTACTCCTTTACTACCCATAACTCTACCCCAACCCTCTGCTAAGTTACTATCCTTATTCCAGCACTCTTAGGGCCAAAACTGGAGATCGCTTTTTTTTCCAAGAATATCTATTATACTAAATTGGGAGTGCTTATTTAGGTCACATTTGGCCTCTATACCGTGAAGACCCGAAGGTAATCCTTATTAAGGTCATAGCTCGAACTACCCTTTTCACTTGACTGAGTTCATTCCGTTTTCTCAACGTTGCACCTTTCTCATAATTTAGTACAGTTTTGTCTCAAGTGCGTAAGTTATAAATCATAGTATTTAATGAAAATAGTAAGAACAACACACAATGCGGAAAATTTTGCTCTATTCCATTGGTTTGAATGAAGGCCAGATTTTTACGTTCATGGAGGAGCAAAAGCTAGACTACCATTTTGGCAAAATTTTGTCAAGTGAAAAAGTCAAATCCTCCAAATGGACTTCTGGGTCAAATTTGGTGTATAAAAAAGGTGGACACAGTACGCAACATGCTCGAGGGCACTGGGCACTCTCTTAGTAGTAGTAGGCTGTAGAACGTGCACACAGCAGGGCGAATCGGCCTCGATACGCCCCGTAGACTTTTGTGATCGTCCGTGAAACCTCCCGTTTTGATGTGTCTTAACAACTCACAGTTTTGTTAATTGCGTTGCCACATCCTACAAGCCTACATCTTTTTTAAAAGGAAAAGAAAGATCTTCTAAATGGCGGTCTTCACCTGAAAATTGATTTGGTAGAACTGGAAATATTTGCTTCTGAAAACTAGGCAATTTTTACAACGCGATAAAATAAAACTACTGACGGAAACTTCAAGAAGTATTATTTATTCCTTCTAGCATCTTTTGACACTTGAATTGCATGCATGCACACACACAACACGCACGTAAATGTTTGTATGTGTATGAAATATGTTTGCCTGTTTAAAAAGCTTTATTCTGTAAATCTTTTACAAGAGTAAGCAATATAAATTCATGTCAATGAAGTATGTGTGAATAGTTATGTTCTTCTGTAAACGATGGTGAACTAAAAATTCATTTTTTGTGTTCTTTCAGCGAGTTCTGACCACAGAGTTCATCGATGGAGTAAAGATTAACAACCTTGAGGGGATAAAAGATCTTGGTCTCAATTTACAAGACGTAAGATTCCTGTGAAAAAAATGTTAACTGAATCTGTTTAAATGGTTCATTTTTACATTGAGCATAAACGTTATTGCAACTAGAAATATGTTGCAATGGACTCGACGAGATTAGATGAGATTATGAATTTTAATGCTTCATCGCATTTACTTGCCTGTTCTTCAGTATCTTCATATTTATAGTAAATTCCTCAACTTGTGTTCCACTGTGTAAATATTTGCTTCTTTGTGCAGGCAAGAAAGAAATGGTATGGGGAAGAGGGGCATGTTCATTTATGTATTTTTGCTATTGACAAATAAATGTATTTGTTCATGTAATATTTGCTGTAAAATGCATTGAGCATTCATAGAGGGGTTATTCACAACACAAATGCGGTCTATTAATGCCTTAACTATCCCTTGCAGTCTGTCAAAACGAAGATGACAGTGTCATGAACTCAACATCTAGTTTGAAAAATGATTTTGTAGCAGATTTATTACATTACTCTGTGATAGATTAACATGACAATCTGCATGCACATGTCTGTTCAAGGATTTGACCATTTTCACAGGTAGATCAGAAGCTCGTCCAGTCATTTTCAGAACAGATTTTCTTGTCTGGCTTTGTGCATGCTGATCCTCATCCAGGCAATGGTAATTACTTCCCTTTAAAAATGCGTTGTTTTTATTCAGGATTAGAAGTCTGGAAAAAAGGCCAGAAAAAAAAAAGCTGAGTGCTGCTTAAGTCAAGTCAGGCCTTCAATAATGTTTTATATGCGTATCTCACAGAAAGATGAATGATTAGAATGTATCGGTAATGATATTTGCTCTTGAAGATATCTTCAAACATGTGTATCTTTTATTAGACAAACGTGGATGGTTGGCGGGTACTCTGGTGTGGTTTGCTCCTTCTTTCCTATCAAATATCTATCATCCTGATCTCTCCTCCTTCTGTTTTATGTTTGTTGCTCTCTTGTAATACTTCTAATCTTCGACACTTAAATGACCTTTTTGTGTTGCAAATGCCGTAAAACTCTTACTAAAACTAAACTATTAGAAAAACAATGTTTCCTTCAAGCAAACTGTAAGCTGTTCTGTTGTTTTAAGCCCAGAAAATATTATTTTTCAGAGAGAAAGAAATATATCTAAACAGTCGAACCTGCCTTAATGGAAACCTGTGGAAGACGGAAACGTGTCATAACGGAATCTTCCCGCTCCATCCTTGATAAATCCTTTATAGTTTCCTCTAAAAGACGGAAACCTGTCTTACACTGAAAAAGTAAGAGAAATTCCTTCCCTTCGGAGGGTTTTTAAATGCTTTGCTAACTCCACCCTGATTTGAAACAAAACTATCAAGTTTGGTTTCATAGTCTCTAACCTAGACTATCTTATTATGTGACCTGTATTAACTCTTTCGCTACGCCGAGCCGTGGGGGGGCGGCATGGCTAAAGTGCCGTCAGTACGCTAAGCCGCCCAAGGCGGCTCGAGCACCAACCTATAATTCTAGCTGAGATTTTATTCCAATCCACATATCCATGTTAAAATAAAGGTTGTAGTATAACATTGACTTCCGGGTCAAGCGTTTCCACCGAAAATCGGAAGTTTAGATTCACTTTTGAAACGCGATTTCGTAGTTTATGCGACTTTGCTTTATCGCTTTTATCGCGAAGCCCAAATTATAGCCCAGACACAACAAAATGTATCATTATTTTTCTCACTAAAGAAATGCAGGACTCTTCTTTATAATATTGATACTATTGGACTCATATTGCCAGTGCATTATTATTGAGAAATCTATATTTTTGAGTGTTAGATCTAGGTCTAGATCTAAATTGTCAAAATATTTTTTTCTCCTTAAAATCACTACTTTTTGGTGAAATTACACAAAAAGTACCACTCAAGACATGTATAGGTTTATTTCAAATGCAATTCTGAATAATTCCATATAAGATACAAGGGTTTTTTTCTGTTTGTGAATGCATCTTGTCCTTTTTTCAAGATTATAAAATTTGTTTTATTTTTTTTTCAATATTGGATGTTATGCTCCAAATGTACACATTTTTTGGAATGTAAGCAAATAACTGCGAATTTTTCAATGTTTTCCAGTTCTATATTGGGTGGGGCTAAGGGCGGAAGCAAATTAGATGTTCAAATGTTTCCGTTTTAAACAGGTCGAACAGTTGTCCTATGAAAAGCAAGCACAAGTAGCAATGGATAGATAGGACTGACGTATGCCATTATCAGAGAGGATAGCATTTGAGAAGTGTAGTTTTGACCACATTTTGCTGACCAGACAAGCGAACCTTGATCCTACCGGCAGGGCCCCTGAAACTACCCTCCATCTCCCCCTAAATTTTGCAGTAAACGGAAATCCCGCGACGCCTCGTGCTCGGAAAAATCTATTGTGTCTTAAAAATGTTTTCCCCCCATTTAGTTAAATTTAAGTAATTATTAACATCGCACTGCGTTCCAATGGCCAAGTAGTGATAGATCTAGGTGCTTCCATGCGTTCTTGGCTAGGTGTCAATAAGAGGTGAAAATTTGATGTAAATTAATATGTTCCAAAACGACGACAGACATTTATCCTTTATGTGACATCATGGTTATGTTCACAAGATATTTGGTGTTTTGCTTAGAGTCATAGTAAAATGTGAATTAAGTGGCATTTCTTCACTATTAGCAAACATCATGAGTCAAACTGAATCTCCTGAATCTTTGTCTGCCAAAATTTTCAAAAAAGGAATTAAAATTAAGACATGAAAATGGAAAGTTTTTCATTTTTTTCAGACCTAACTGTGATGACACAAATGCAAACGCAGCGACATTCAGAATTTCTTTTTTCTGTGATCCTCACCATTTTATATGCTCTTCATGCCTATGTTTGAAAATCAAAGCAAAAAGAAAACTATTTACATCATTTTGTGTTTTCAAATTCTAAAAAATGTGTCATCATAGCTATGCTCAAAAGAATTTGACTTGATGTTATGTAATGCCAGTTACACAGCTTAGCATGCTGTCTGTAAGTCTGTAAATACAGTGACATGTTTTTGTAGGAAGAGATATACATGAATAGAAAAATTCAAGCAAAAAAAATAATTAAAAACTTTATCGACAACCCTCTGTGCTACTTTTATAGTGCCCACCTATTGGCAAAGGCTCATTCATATAAATAGGCTGTACAAATGGCCACTTTCCATTCCCCCCCTAGCCTTTTTCTATAATGAATTTAACTGTGTGAAATGGGCACCTGTCCAACGCGGTCACGGTTGCCCTATTTTATCAACCCACAGTCAAATTTACCTGCCTGAGACGGCCAGGCTTTGTAAAAAATTATGCATTTTCCCCTGACACTGTGGACAAGCCATCATAATTCATTCACCTGTCATTATGGTCAGTCTCTCAAATGGATGAAACGGTCATGTTCCTTAGGTAGCTCCCAATGTTAACTTAATTTGACCAGTGAGTAACAATAAATTTTCTATTGCTGGTAAGGGAAGCCTGTGATCCGTCAAACCTAAAGCCCTGCCCACAACTCAGTCCTTGAACCCGGTCCATAACAATGGAAGTCAACACCGACTCGCGACAAGGGTGTTGCTCGTTCACTGAGTGGTGGTTGTTTTACTGTGGCACTTGGCTTTCCTCGTCTGACACATTTCGTTTTGTTTTGATCTTTCATGGAACCATAATATTTTTTAAGATAAAATAAAACTAACAAGAAAAAGTCCCCCCAAAACCGTCCTATCCTCTCCCCCCTTTCAAAATAAAAACAACAACAAATTTTTAATGAGCCCTATGACAGTTCTAAGACTTTGACCACCTCCAGTTTAGACTTCAGAAGTAAATGGTTTGTTTTCATCATTTTGATCATCAGTCCTGCATATGACGGCACCCTGTCTTATATGGCCACTTTTCACCTCGACAAAGAGTGGCCATCTTACACAGGTTCGACTGTATGTATGTATATATTTATATATATATATATATATATATATATATATACACACACGCACACACACTCTAACATTTTTAACTTCACTCATTGTGAAAGTGTGTAGCTCAAAAACTACACTTCCAATTACTTTGAAATGTTGACACATGTCATGCAAGCTCATTTTCTCTTATAGACTGTACTCACTAAGGTGCACTGGTCTATCGTTATGTCTGACGATGTCATCCACAGGGTTTTGATATTTTTTAGAATATTGTGAAAGTGTGTAGGTACCATTGGAAACAAAAACTTCACACATAAAGTTGAACTCCTTCCTAATGGCTGAATGAAGCAGATAGAAATGACATAATTGAAATGCTTCAGGTTGGAACACCGCTTTTGTCAGCTGCGAGATGGTTCAACGTGAGCAGACACGCTGTGTATGCCACACGAGATCACATGGCAACGAATGGCTCCCAAAAAGACAGATCAAAGCAAGTAGGACACAGAAAGACAAAACGGAAGGAGTACTCATTCATCCTAATGCAACGCTGGAGAAATCAATTTCAACCGACAAACACAGACCCAAGAAGAGTCGAAAAGACTTAGAAATGACAGTCTTTGTCATGACTGTTCTTCTTCATTTAAAAGAGAGGAATATTTGTGCTAGAGGCCTAGTTTGTTGCATAAAACTGCAACCCCATCCCATCCAGCACAGACTTCACTGGGCACAGCATCGCTCGAGATGACCATGTCGTATTTGGAATACGTACCTGTTTTCAGATGAGTCCCAATTTTGACTGGAACGGCATGATTCACGGTCAGAGTCTACAGAAGACCCAACCAAAATGTATTCCCCAGCTTGCTTTAGACAAGCAGATAATTTCTATGGAGGCAGTTTCATGGTGTGGGCTGGAATCAGCGATACTGACAAAACCACACTTGTGTCTTTTTCTGGGAAACCAAAAGCTCAAGGCTAAATCAACTAAGTTCTCGAGCTCAATGTGCTTTTCTTTCAAAATCAAACCCATGATAATGCACCTGCTCATAAAGCTGCTGTGATAAATCAGTTTCTCAAAACTACCATATAACAATATTCCTCTCCTGCACGCATGACCAGTACTTTCACCAAATCTCAATCTAATTGAGAAAAGCGTGAGATTTTAGATCGTACCATTCCTACCAGACCACGTCAGTCCTGTACCCTTGCTCAGTTAGAACAAGCTTTTAAGTCTAAAGTGGAATAACACCCTTCAACAGACAATAACTCGACTCCTTCAGTCCACACATGAACGATGTGAAGATGTGAACAACGCCAGATGGCATCACTGAAGCTGTTACTTTTCATTTAGACCCCTGGCAACTGCAAATTCAAGACTGAAGATTAAAAACATTCATAAGCTTTTTTTTAAAGATAGTTGAGGTTTTACGGTGCTTGCAACTGCTTAAGGTCATATGAGTGCCAAGGGGTGGATGTCTACAGAGTAGTCCTTATAGGGAATAAGGCTTACTCTGCTCACCTCTCTTGCTTCAACAGCACAAAGTCTGCTTCGACTATCAAGGCACACCAGAAATAGTGGGTTGCATTAGTGTGACAAACATACAAAAGAAGTGGAGGAAAAAGACGATACTAAGGATTAGGAAAGAAAAAGCAGCAGTTCTCTGTTGCAGTTCAGGCACAGTTATGATTATGACATTGATGAGTCATCCCATTTACAATTCTACTGTGCATAAGAACATGTTAATGTCTCCCCTTTTGGAATGGCGTAAAGACACTTCAGTCAGTGGCACCGCCCTGCGGGGTGATTAATAACTTTGCATTCAACATGTTTCCCTTACTGTAAAATGAATGCACTATCTTATTTGAAATTTTCAGACAGATTTGATAAGTATTGATCAAGAGATTTACCTTTAATATGAAGTGGGAAGTTAAAAATGGTAAAAATGATATATATATATCTGAGCCTATAGGTGGGTATCTAAAATGTAGCACAGAGAGTTGATGATAAAGTATTAATATTTCGGTTTTACTTGAAATTTTCTATTCATGTATATCTCCTACAAAAACATATATTTATAGACCTACAGACGGCATGCTAAGCTGTGTAACTGGCGTTACATAACATCATCAAGTCAAATTTTTTCGGATATAACTATGATGACTCTTTTTTTTAGAATTTGTACATGACATACAAAATTATTTTAACAGTTTTCCTATTGCTTTAATTTTCAAACATTTGCATTTGTGTCATCATAGTTATGTCCAAAAGAAATGGAAAACTTTCTGTTTTCATATATATCTTTATTTCTTTTATGAAAATTTGGGCAAACAACGATTCAGAAGATTCAGTTTGACTCACAATGCAAGTTAATGATAAAAAAATGCCCCTTTATTCTCATTCTACTTTGAATCTCTGCAAAATATCTAATATCTTTCGAACGTAACCATGATGACACCGAATGAAAAAAAATCCTGAAAAGTAATTTACGGAACATAAAATTATTTAAATAGTTTCCTCATTGCTTTAATTTTCGAACATAAGCATGAAGAATATATAAAATCACAGAAAAAAGAAATTCTGAATGGCTTTGTGTTCATATTTGTGTCATTATAGTTATGTCGAAAGAAATGAAAAACTTTCCATTTTCATATTTTAATTCACTTTTTCGAAATTTTGGCAAACAAAGATTCAGGAGATTCAGTTTGACTCATAGTGCATGCTAATGATGAGAAAATGCCACTCAATACATCGCACAACAATACACTTTGAATGGATTGACAGGAACAATGTACGTTCCTCCACCCCTATTACTTCTCTTTTTCTGATTCGTTCTTTCGAACATAACAAATGATGACAGAGCTCGAGGCGTCGCGGGATTTCCGTTTTCTGCAAAATTACGAACGGTCACAGCCTCAGAATCAGTCAGGGTCAGAGGGTAAACATTGAACGATATTATGCTCGTTCCGGGGCCCCAAAATGGCCTATAGAAACGTAGTCACGAGGAATCGAAGTTGCCTTGCGAAATGACTGCACGAGTTATGAGGCTCACAAAGAAAAAACAGCTACAGATATCTTTATTCCTGATATAGCACCACAAAAAATATAGATATAGTAGTAAAAGTGGAGAAGGACGAGTTTCTCAGCAATTATTTCATTTTTGAACTTGACAACAGAAAAAGTATGTACTCGACGCGTCACATTTTGTATTCTAAAAATACATAGATTTCTGAACTAAAAATATTTGTAAAATTTCTTTCTGATGGCCTGACTGCTATTTCTATTCTCCCATAGCTGAAACATAATATAAAGCACAACACATACAATTTTCAAAGCTGTAGCACCATTTTTCTTGGAATAGGAAATGATTTTTGTAAGGTATATGAAGAAAACCCCACCTATTGGCAAAGGCTCTTTTATATATATCAGGGATCACAGTTTTCCAGGGATCTGTTTTCGAGAACTTCCCAAATCCGCTGCATGGTCGTTCCGCCCTGGCCTTAAGTCGGGCCGCGGTTGGCCTTGAGTAGCCTTGAAACCCTTCCTTGATGTGTGTGTCATCTAGAAAAGGAATGGATTCTCTTAGAAAATTTGGTTTGCAAGTCCAGCAATACTTGCTTCCTTTTTTCCTTAAGTATATACTCTTTGCATACTTGAGTCCAAAAGAATAGGAGTGGCTCATTTTTCGAGTGTAAATGATGGTGACCGCATTTGTGCGAATACCCAAACATGGTTAAGTGTAGCAAGTTGAGGGAAACTTTTTATGAACTATGTCTATGATTTTAATGGTTGAGTTCAACATGTACATAGTTTTCAATATTATTTTAATCCCATGTTGGTTGTTGGAGTGTGCCACTCCTAAGTCCTTCTTTTCCTTCCCTCCTTCCCTCTGTTGTTGCTGTTTGTCTGACTTGCTCTTTTCTACACTAAATGGCTGAAATTGTGTCTATGTTCTTCTAATTACTCAAATGAAAAATGTAACTTACACTAAACTTTTGCCTCGTGAAAAATAAAGTGGCATTCTGTGTTCCCCAGTGTTTGTTCGGAAAGGCCAAGACAACAAAGCAGAGTTAGTATTGCTTGACCATGGCCTCTATGATCGGCTGAACGGGGAGCACCGGAGGGCTTTGTGTCAGCTCTATCAGGCAATCATCATGAAGGATGAATTGGCTATGGATTATAATTCTAACCTGTTGGGAGTGCAGGGTAAGGCATATTGCTGTGTAAAGACACCTGTGTTTCTTGGCTTAAATTTTTTTGTGTATCCTTCACAGCACAGCAGGGAATTTTCTCTTGGGGGTCATGGTAGTCGCTCCGACCTTCATTGTTGACACACTTGAGCTCTCCCATTTTTTGTTTCCCTATCACCAACTAGTTTCTCAACTTGCGAGGTTTACATCTATGTATAATTGGTCTATGCGCTGCGCACAGCAGCAGCAATATTCCACTATAACCGACTCGCGTGTTTGTCTGATTGCACTATAGCAGTATTTTATTTACAAAGATAAAAAGGGAAAAAAAGTGTTTTTAGAATAGTGTCTTTATGACAGACTTCTCGTTATTTCGGGATTCGTTTTAAGTGGACTCCACTGTTTTAAAACCCCCCAAACAAAACAGCTCTATAAAAATTTATCTGCTGTGGTAGTATGAACAACAAAAGGAAAATGTGGAAATACCCATTAGTGCTTGTATTTGCTTAGGTTAAAGGATGCAGTATTTTTCCCCTTTCCTGCAACCAGTAATAAATATGTCTGACTTTTTAAAATGATGCATTGTGATCCCTTCTATCATAACCTAATGTGTCCAATGCAATTTTTTAAACTTCAATTAGACATAGAAGGTGTTGAGCCAAAAAACAAAATTTTAATAAAAGTTGCCAGAACAGTGGAAAAGTGTCAGTTTCTTTTACTTTCATTATTTTGATGAGCGCCTGATTTCGCCACACTGCCTCACATATAATATTACACTGTCAGACAAGAAACAGAAAAAGTTCTAGTAAAAACTGTTTTACCAGTTTATTACAGACGTCGTCAAACTGCTATCTTGACAATTATAAGTACATTCCTACCCTTAAAATGTATCCAAATGACGACATGTTCATGTAAATGCCTTGAAGTGTTACTAAAAATATAACTATTTTTAATTGTGCATGTTGTAATAGTTTGAAAAATTACTGTCTCATTTTACCTTCCTTATATACAAAGTGGACTCTCATTTTTTGTCACATATATTCATCGCGCACACACACACACACACTCACACACACACACACACACACACACACACACACACACACACACACACACACACATACACACACGTGCACACATAAAACATTTAGGATCATTTAGGATAAGAATTTTTGTAACAGTTTAATTAGAAGCCCAATGTAGTTCTGAAAGGTTACTCTTTTGCTTTTAATAGACTGAAAAGCGCACATATTTTTGTAGAATTACTCTTTTTTTTGTTATCTATATCCCATAGCCTGGTTGATGATAGGGGCCCTAGTATAGATTTTGCAACCAGCTCCCTCCCCAGTCCTCATGGTTTCCAGTCTTTCTGCAATGTCTCTCAGCTCAAGTCCAGTCCACTCTCTAATGTTATCCTCCCATCTCTTTTTCTCTCTGCACCTCCATCTTGCTCCTTATACTGTGACTAGCATAGATGTCTTTGCCAGTCCTGATGTCGGTGCGATGTGCCCATATCATTTCAGTTTACACCCTTTTCTGGAAGTTTAGAGGTCTTCAGACAGCCTGATGGCATTTTGGACTCTGGTTTTAACTTTTTCTTTAGAGATGACACCTCTGCCTGGAATTTTACAAGAACACCTCAATTTTATATATTGACAGGACCAGAGAACACAACTGTCTGACCTTAGACCTTGGTGATGATAGTATAAGTGTGGTATATCTGTATCCAAGTGGCATGGGATCTGTCTGTGTCCAAATTATATATTTTGAAGATGGTCTGTTACCAAATTGAGCATTCATAAATTTTCTTGGTTGTACGTATTATCTGAAATTATCCATCAAAAAATGTTTTGTACCACATCAACATGAAGAGTAAAACCTTAATTGCCTTTGATTTGAGAATATTTTTCAGCTGTAAATATTCACATGAAATGGACTTGAAATTATGAAAAAAAACAACCCTAAACATGAGTATCATAATGGAAAAAAGAAAGGTATTCTTTTGGACATCTTAGAGTAAGCTATTCTTTCTTCTCTTAAGGTTGTATGAGAATACATCTTTTATTACACTATACCAATTTTCTTTTCTCCACTCCAGATTCCCTCATTTTTGCCATTATGATCATGCAGCGTCCTGTGAGGATGAAATCACGACGTTTGTTTGATATCAAGCCCCCTACCCGTGAGGAGTGGGTGCTCATGAGCAAAGAGGACAAAGCCATGTGGAAAGAAAAGTTTCAAGAAATTCATGACAGGGTTCTTACAATCATGAAGGAAATGCCTTCACCTCTCTTCTGGATTTTTCGGTACATTCATGCTGAACATAGTTCTGTACTGCAGCACTTCTCCAAGGGTAACAAACAAGAGTAAAAGTTGAAGCTTGACATCACCATACTGTGGACAAGATTTTATTTCTTAAAATTTCACGTGAATGGGGTCCCTTATTATGTCTCTTGGCAAATGAGAAAGGCCTATGGAAGAGAGATTTTTAGTGGAAAAAAAGTGCTCATGTGTTGCCATGGCATTTGTTTTTTTCTTAAGTTTGCTGATTGCCTTTGTCGGGTTTTTTTTTATCAACATTTGCTTGTTGTCTGTTCTCTATGAGTTTTGTGCCTGTGTCTTCTTCTTTTGGCTTTGGAAAGTATTTTTCTTTGAAATGGATCACTTTCACTTTCAGCTTGCATTGTTCGTTAAAACAGTGGGCTGCACTTCTGCAGATTTAATCGCTTTTCATTGACTATTTCTATTGTTCTTTCACATGAACTTGCTCATGTTTGCTTGTGTCACAGCACTTCTTTAATATAGGTATATCTGTCTTGGTACAGATTTATGCAACCAACTTGTTTCGCGTGCTCAAGCGCTGTAAAACTCTTACTAAACTAAGCTAAACAGGTATACTGTCTGTAGCAGCCCCCTGTAAAAGTACATGATGTGACTCCTGGTTATTTACAGTGGGGTCCTAAAGAAACTTGAAAATGTGTTCACCCAATCATGGAGTATACCAATTTAAAACTAAGTAAATTCTGCGTTATCTGATCATCTATGGTAATAGTCGCCCCAGATGTGGTCACTCGAAACTGACCTTAAAATATCATGCTTGGCAAATTTCTGTGAAATCAGAGAAACGTAAAAGTGTATTTGTGTTTGTATTGAAGTGTATTAATTAACATTGATGGAATAGACATGTATTGCTTATAAAATGAACAGAGAATTTTTTTTTCTTCAATAAAATATATTTTATTAAAACAGTTTGAAACAGAATTGGAAAACAGTAGAGCTGTACCCCGGTAGCAATCTTGCTCTTGCTCGCAAGCCCCTAGTTCAAGTCACAAGCCTCAAATCACTAGGTCAAATCATCAAATCAAATCACCAGCATGATAAGTTGAGTCTAGCCAAAACTGTAACCTCCTTGGTCTAGTCTAAACTTCAAGTCCACACCAATTAGCAATCCGCGAAGCCACTCGTGTCAGACCCCGTCATCATCCCCACCCTGCTTGCAATCCATGAAGCCACTTCCGTCAGAAAATGAGAGAGGGGGAGAGTGAGACATCCCGCCCACAGTGTCACTGCGCGGCGTAACGCTGTAGTCTGCTCGATTAATTGAAGGCTTTCAAGCAGCGGACAGCCGTCAAGTCTCAAATCCCATCCGCAGCACACAAGTCCCATGATTCTCATAGTACTGTTTTGTGCCAGTGAATTGTCCCAGGACCAGCTCGAAACCTGACGACAAGTCACTTTGCTGTCTTGCTGTAGCAGCGAACGGCAGGCAGCAGGACCGCTCGCTATATGAACTTTGAACCGTGGAGGAAGGAAGATGCTGTGTTTGTTTTGGTGCAAGATGTAGAGAGCTGAAGTTATTTCTAACTTCCCGCCGTTGATCAGCTAAGCAAGTGGATAAGTGAGAGGGAGCGTAGTAGCAGAGACCTAGGTTTCTGGTAGTAATGAGAATAAGTAGACTTAGATTACCCTAGAATGGAAAACTCTAGGGGTCATTGTTATTGGCTTTTGTATCGTAATTATGTAACCTATTTTGTAGATGTGTCACGCTCACAGTGACATAATACAGAACATTTAGGAGACGGGCTAGGCCTACTTCAACCTAGTGTCAGGGCCAACCTGTGCTGAGAGGGAACAACGCCCCAGCAGAAAGACGGAGGTTTTCAGTAAAAATTTCTCCCCATACGGGAATCGAACTGATGTCTTTTGCGTGCGACGATGAAGCGCTTGGCTCGTGCACATTAAAAATAAACCGGCCTTTGCATCGTGAGAATAGCCGATCCAATATTAATTTTTAAGTGCATTGAATAGAGCTTTTTATTTTTTATAACCCGACTGGGAAAAAACCAAAACAATCTTTCACTTTTGGTGCAAGCCTCTCAACGCAAATAACCAGAGAATCTTCTGTAATGTGTACTGAGCCCACAGCCAGGAAGGTTCGCGACGTCACGACACTGTACTGTTCTAATTTCGATTTTATTTTGTTGTGAAACCTTTATTTTTCACGTCTTTACACTCTGTGTGGCCACAAATGATATTCTCGATGCTTAAAACAGAGCTAAAAAAATTCTGGTGCTTTAGATTAAGTTACCTCTATCAACATAATGCTATACGTCGTCACAGAGAGTTGAAATCTTGAAAATTAATGGCAACTTTTGCCTTCTTTTGTGGCAAGTTTTGGACCAAAAAATGGTAACAAACACAGATGCTAGATATAGCACGCGATACTTTGACTTACCATTGCATGTGGTCATTGGTATTTTGTTATGGAGATATTGATTTTGTGTAGAGCACGAACCCTTTGGGCATGGATTTGGTTAAATTTTGGACAAAATTATATGTCATTTTATCCCAAATGTCACAGGGAGTTGTAAACAAAGCGTCTGAATTGGGAGCAAAGTCGTGTTTCTTCAGCTGTAGTTTCATGGAGCTCAACATATCTGTAGGATTCATATCTGGGCTGTTTACTGATGACCACTCTGTTGTTGGAATGATTTGCTTTTCCAAGAATTGTCTGTAGGCTTTGGCCCTTTGAGAAGGTGCTTTATCATGCATAAAGATGCCTACTTGATTGTAAACAATGAGCACATTTAACATCAAGTTCACATTTTGTGCGGAACCTGTGACTGCTCTGTTTTTCAATTTGTCTGGAAATATTGTAATAAAATGTTGTTCTTTTCAGAGACAATAATATTTTCCTTGCATTTGATATGCAATACTCCATTCCACCAATGTTGACACTCCAATGCAAGCGAAAGCACAATTTACATTTCTTTGATTTCACATAATTTTGCCAAGCATGAATTTGAAAGGTCAATTTTGAATTACCCTATCTCAGGTGACTCTACTTACTTATGGTACAGAATTGATTTTTAAAATTATTTGGTGTCAGAGTTGAACAGATAGAGTAGTGTTGAGGAAAATGTCAACTTTTTAATGTTTTAGATGTATGCTAAGAATAGATGAGGGAGTCCAGTGATGCTCCTGCAGTCAGAAAAATCTGCGAATAAGTGGCACAGTTGTTAAAGCCCCAGGATTTAAAGCTGAGAAAAAAAGTTACACCTTATATCCCAAACTTTAACGAATTTCCTTTGTTCTTCAGGTTTAAAAAATCCATCATGTAAAATGCATCCTGTGTTTGTGGATTAATGGTTAGGCTGTTCATTGTTGCATGCAAAAGACATGAGTTCTATTCTCATGTTTTGGGGAAATCTGCTTCATAGAATTTTTTCATCTTTCCAGATGCTGGATCCCACTTTACCGAGTTGGCCCTGAGAGGCAGGCTTGAAGCAGCAGGTCTCCAAAATAGTCTAAATTATGTCAATAGGCGCTTGAATACTCGCAATGTAATTATCTTCCTCATCCAGGTATTACTGCCAGTGAAGAAAACATTGATTGTGTTAAGGTCTGTTTCATACATTGTGCTGCCTCATCTCCTTGTGGTCTCAATCTATTGTTTGTTGTCTGTGCTTCCTCTCTGCAGACTACGAGTTATTTTGTGAAATTCTGGTGCAACGGCCATGGAAACGGAAGACTTTGTATCTCTCTACGTCTATGACCTCTGATGACCTGCAGCACATGCGCACAATGGCACAGCACCACTTTGATCAGATAATGGTGGTGCTAAAAGAAATGCCTCGCAACCTGTTGCTAGTTATCAGGTCGGTGCTACAATCTTTATTCTGTTCTTCTTTTATTGAGCGCCCCATGAATCACCTTGTTGTTAAAAAAGAAAATCTTTTGAAAGATTAGTTTGGATCATTGTTTGGTGCACCGTTTGCTTGTGTCTCTAGGTTTTGGTGCAAATGGCTTTGTTTCGAATTTGCATTTGGGAATTCTTTGAACTTTGGTTCTTTGGAGAGTTTTCAAATTCTCCATCCTCTTGGCTGACTCATTCCCATGAAAGATTGATGCTAAAATCAGAGTTCTTGTTGCTTAAATGTTAAAAGGAACATTTAACTTGTACAATTACCAAGTTCAATAATATTTTGTTATTTCCTCTTTTCTGCTTTGTTGCTGTCATGCTTGGAGCTGCAGCTTCTGGTTAGTATAAATCTTTGTTAACTTGGAGGAGTGCTTTTACTTTATTAGTTTGCTGTATCGGCTTTTAGGAACTGTCTGCTTTGTTGTAATTTGGTGCTATTTTTTTACCATCTTTTTTTCTTTTAAATTTTATCTAATGTTGCCAAAGGTAAAATTGTCTTTGGTAAAGATGAGATTGATTTTCCTTGTTTAATGCATTCTAAAAGCTAAAGTAATATATTAACATTGTGCTGATTGGTTATACCCATTCAATGGTTTTATTTTTAAGAACAATGTTATTAAGATTGGGTTTCTATAAAAACTAATGGCAATAAAACTTTCATTGTTTTAGATTTTTAGAGAATTGATACATAAAGCATTAATGTTCTTTTACCCAAAAGACTATAGAAGCTTGATAATTGAGAATAAGAATGATTTACCCTTCTTTTTGCTATAGGAACTTGAACACTATCAGGGCTATCATCCGAGACCATGGCAACACAGTAGACAGATATGGCATAATGGCAAGAAGGTATGAAGAGGTTGGGTTTTTTTCTGGGTAAACTTATTTTGAAAAAAAAAAATTGATATAGGTGTTTTTATGCTCCAATTGACACAGTTTAGATCATTCAGGGAGCGGGCTTCTGACTTTACTTGTCAGGGCCAATTTGAACTGAGAAGGATACAACATCTCAGCAGAAAGACCAGGATGCTCAATAAAAATCCTCCTCTAAATGGAATTGAAATCGTGTCTCCTACGTGCAACAGTGAAGTGCTTAACTGTTACATCACGGGCACCAGTAACTTGTTACACATTTCTCCTGTGTGTAGTGCAAGTTGCCTTTATCTTCTCATAAAACGGGCTAAGAGGGGGCAATTTCTTATCGGTACTTGTTGTTGACCTTCTTCTAGTTAGGTTGAAGGGTGACCCCAGTAGGTCCAACTTCTTTTCTTCCCTTTCTTTTTTTATCCATCTTTGGTTTTCTATGCATAAATCTTTCCCTACCGGGCCAAAATCCACCACTGGCCCAGAGCTTTTCCTTGACCTGTTTGTCTCAAGTAATGCAAAGAAATGTTGAAAGTTATGTATGTGTACCTTATTTATAGAAGTGAAAGTATGAGACATTTACTGAAGTCGGAGGAGCGCTTTCCTTCTCATTTTTACGTTTCACAAAGGGGACAAAAAAAGCGCTGAAATAACTAACAATCATCTCTCAGTGATATATTTTCTTTCGTATCTGCTAAAAGTAGGTACCGCAAACTGGCCGTGTGCCCCCGTGGCGCACAGTCACGGAGACCAAAACCCATATTTTTACCCTCCTAGAACACCGTGTGATCATGCATACACACAGACTCTTGATATATCAGAAGAAAGAGGAGCTTTTCCTCTTTTTAGTGGTATTATTTATTTGAATCAACGATTCTTTTAAAAGCAAAATCTTGCGGGATAAAAGACAACACTATCAAGGTTTTCACTGTCGCGGCAGCGCGTTTCATGTTTTGATTTTTTGAGTGACCTCAGTTGAACAGGAACGGGGAGCGTATGGTATTAAATACTGCAATCTGATTCGTCGGTATTTCCAGATAAGAAGACGCTCTTTCGGGTGATATATTTCTAAAGACTGTCCTTAAAGAATTAATAGAAGAGATTTGCGTGTGAAAACTTTCGGTGCTGTTTTTTTATGGAACCAGTGATCGGACTGATTACGGAAATGTATCGGCAGAAAAAGCCCATTCATTCCTCTTCAAGAATAACACAGCCATTATACGCAAATAAACACCGGACGCTCCCCGTCGGCTCGCAAGCAGGGCACCATCGCCCCGGTTTCGTATAAAATTCTCTCTCCTTCTCTTCAGCGCGGCCCGGCGCGCAGCCGAAAAGCCAGTGGCCGCGAGTCGCGAGTGGTGATTTTAACATCCCCTTGTATTTCTTGCCGTTTTGGTCAAAAAGCCATGTAACGACAATAAATTTCCATCTTCTGGTTATTTGATAGCCCTGAAAAAAAATTGAGCTTGTTCTCTATGTGCATAGGTGTGTGTCTACAAGTTTGTGTGAATGTCCATTCAAATTTAAGAATGTTGTGACATCTCAAAGTGTAGACATTTCGCAATTAAAAAACTAACATTTTTCTGCAACTTCAGTTGTTCATAACTTTGTTAAAAATGAAGCTATATGTATAAATTTGGTATCAAAATGCTCAGAATGATAAATTCTATAAGGTAGTGCAGTTAACTATGAAATCAGAGGACTTTGAAATTTCAGTTTGTGGTACCTACTAAGAGGAAGTCTATTCTATTATTTTGAAAACATGGATCGGCCGAGAATTTCGGGTCTTTTCATTACTGAATTGGAATAGATAGCAAGCCACCTGAGCCATATTTTGCGGCTCTCGGTCCAGCGAGGCTACGTCCGCCAGCCGCATCGCGGTAGGAAAAGTGTTAAATGACTGTTACTGGTTTTATAGGCTTCTGTTTACTCAGAAGTTGTTTGCTTTGGAACAAGTGGACAATGATTATTAAAGCTTGTGACTTCATGCGGAAGTAGGAGCTGCCAAAACGTGGGTGGCAGATGGATGATCTGGTATGGTTTGCTCCTTCGTTCCTATCGAACAGCTGTTGTCCTTATTTGTGTTTGTTATTGTAACTCTCCTGTAACACCTTTAATCTTCAGCACTCATATGACGTAATTGTGTTTCAAGGCCGTAAAACTTACTAAAACAAAAAACAAACTGTTAGCGTCACGATTCTGTCTTGTCAACATGTCAACATGTTACATTTTCACTTGCCTTGATACTTAAAGGTTTGAACAGCCATTATTTAATTGACATGGAAGTGGCTCAACCTTGGTAATTTAATTGTATACAGTCAAACCTTGTTGCAACGCTGCCTTGTTCTGTCAGGCCAATGGGTGTCATCTTGACTTGTCATCCAGGTTTTGAAGGTTTGAAACCAAATGGGACCTGGGTTTTTCTTTTTCTTCTTGGAATAGTTTATCTGATTTGTGTCCAGTCTGAGAACCAAAAACACTGTCTTCTAAATCACCACTTGCATGTGGAGAAGGACGTGCTGATGGACTTTGATCTTATTCTTTTGTAAGATCTGTGTTTGAAATGTTTTTTTGGAGACTAGCTGGAAGTCAGATAAATTTATATGTAAAAATGTATTCTTTCAGGGGGATTTAAAATTGTCTTTTTCACAAGAAAAGTTCTGCAGTCGGGAGGGCCGTAACACCCTCTACTATAAAAAAAAAACGAAAAAAGTTTATTGGCAAAGGTAACAAAGTATCTTACATTTGATCTCCCATTCATTTTCCCCTCTTTTGGTACCTGGGTAATTGTATTGGTTTAGGCCAAGCATGGACAAGTGGGTCCAAGTCGCAGGCCAGATTAAGCTATTCTAAATATCCCGCAGGCCTAAGCAGGAGAATTCTGGGTGAAGCCAGTTTAAATATCCAGACTCTCAAGAGAGACTGAATTTGACACTATAGAATATTTCACCCTAGGGCATTTAATGCGATAAAATACTAGATCTATTGATTCCTGCTGAGCCATAACTCTTAATTTTGATTTTTCAAGACAGACAGTTTTGTTCTTATTAATTATCAGCCCACTTTGGACCGTATTCATTGCTTGGCTGACATGCAGGCGAGACTGAAATTGCTTGTAGACCAGATCTGGCTTTGGGGCCACAGTTTGCCCATGCCTGGTTTAGGTAATTCCAACACTGTGTGAGAGTGTCCATCTCTGTGAAGACTGAGCTAAGAGGATGGAAAGCTTTGATTATTTTTTGCTTTTATTAGAACCAATGTTTATAATAATTGTAATAGATTGCATTTATGGAGCACTGTATCCTATACAAGTATAAGCTCTTGAACACTTTACATTGATGACATGATTATACTGAGAGTAAAAACACACACACACACATGAACAAAAACATTTCATTTAAAAAAGAAAACCATTTCCACATAAATAAAGAACTTTGTCAGCCATTCAGTAATTTTGTAATGTCATTTGCATGGTAGATTTTTCCCATTCAACAAGGTTTAAGCTGTTACTGTTTTCTCAGTGCAATTCGAGGCTCCCATCGGGACAGTGCTTCCAGCGGCACCTTTCTGACAGTGCTACAGGGTTGGTGGCACCGCTGCCTCTACGACTATCGTGTGTGGAGGGAGAACGTCACCCACAAGCTGCTTATGTTTCTAACCCTCAACTACTTGCGCTTTCTGCAACTGGTGGGCAAAGCGCCCTCCCTGGAAGAGTTACAGGCTTTCACCAATGCAGAGAAGAAAAGGTGTGAGAGTTTCATAGATATTAGAAAAAGTCTTATACTGAAAACTTATCGGTGTGGGTGTGTGGTGTGTGTGTGTGTATGTGTGTGTGTGTATGAGCCTGACGTGAGAAAAATAAGTAACTCCATCTGACTTTACTTTATAAGTCTGATGTGTGTCTGTGTGCGTGCATGTGTGTGTGATAATCGGCAAGATAATTTTTTCAACCACTTCTACTATAAAATTGCAAGATGTTTACTGACATGTATTTTTTACAGTTGGTCACCATTGCATCAATACAAACATACTAGGCCCTTTTCACCCCCCACCCCACAGGGCAATCAACAAGGATCATAAAAATGTATTACTTAGTGTGTATTTTGTCTGCCTTCACATATTCTGACCGTGCATATTGACAAGAGTAAAGAAGCTGATGTGTAAGAGTAAGAGCAGGCTGGAGAGAGGAACATGGTCAGAAATGGGAGTAAAAAAAGGGGGGTGGGGGTAGTTTAACTCATTCGCTACGTATTATTTTCGGCTTGTGGACGAATTTTTTTCGGGAGGGCGAAATGAGATGATGACTAGTATGCAGTTCACAGGTCTTGGGGGCCATAAATTCATATAAATATCAACATATTATATACCAACATTTTCAGTATGGTTTGTAGAATACATCTGTATTGTTTATTTGAGTATTTTTCAACTTTGGTTCCTGTAAGAGGCGATTATGCAACACAATTGTGATTGGCTGCGGATAAAATTTGAAAACAAAAAATTTATAATCTCAGATGAAACTCAAAAAATATGTTTGCACCTAGTCAAATTATACATCAAAATAACCATAACTGTATATAGAACAGGAAAATATTGGAAAATGAGCGGTTATTTACTTACATTCCATAATATTTGTACATTTGGATCATAACCTCCGATATCGAAAAAAAACCTATACATGTCTTGGGTGGTACTTTTTGAGTAAATTCACCAAAAAGTAGTGATTTTGGGTAGAAAAAAAATATTTTGACCTTTTAGATCTAGCACTCAAAAATATTGATTTCTCAATTACAGTGCACTGGCAATTTGAGTCCAGTAGTATCAATATGTGAGGCAGCGTGGTGGAATCAGGCTCTCGTCAATTTTGGGTCATGTAGAGTCATTTGTATCGTCTTAAAGCTTGTTCACTTGTCTTTATTTGGATAAAAAAAATATCCATTTATCTGGAATACAAGTCAAGATATTTGCAAAAGAAGGAGGTAGGGTCAACTGTTTTCAGAGGTAAAATTAGTGAGAAAATGGCCGCCAAAGATTAGTTATTTCCTTTGCTTAAGAGTCCGTGGTAACTGAAAATTGACATGTTTTTGTGCCTTTAATCAACATTTTTCAGAAAATCTGCACAGAAATGAGTTCTTTAACTCATTCGCTACGCCGAGCCGTGGGGGGGCGGCGTGGCTAAAGTGCCGCCAGTACGCTATGCCGCCCCCGGCGGCTCGAGAACCGACGGTCAATTTTAGCTTGGTTTCTATTCCAATCCAGATATCCATGTTAAAATAAAGGTCACAATATAAAGTTGACTTCCGGGTCAAGCGTTTCCACCGAAAATCGGAAGTTTTGATTCAGTTTTGAAACACGATTTCGAAGTTTATGCGACATTGTTTTATCGCGAAGCCCAAATTATAGCCCAGACACCAGTCTTAGTACTTTTACACAACAAAATGTATCATTATTTTGCTCACTAAAGAAGTGTAGGACTCTTCTTTATAATATTGTTAAGAAACAGTGGTACTCCTGTAGGCCATACAATTGAGGTCCCGTTTGACTACATCACACTAATCTAGATCTAGGCCTAAATCTAAGTGCCCCTGTAGTACATTAATTTTTACGGTACGTGTTTCGTATTTAGATCTAAACTGAATTAAGATTTACGACTAGATATAGATCTATATCTAGATCTAGAGATAGATTGTGTTGTCTATCTAGAATCTAAAATCTAGAGATCTCTAGATCTAGATCTACTAGATCTAGTTTCTAGATCTATATCTAGACCTAGAATCTAGATCTAGATCTAGACCTAGATCTAAAAATCTAGATTCACTCCCACAATGGCAGTCATGTAAACAAATGGGACCGCAATTGTACAGGAGTGCCGAAACCGTGCACCAAAAAAGAAGCCATTTGAAGCTAGTAGACTCCAGGCCTACAGAAGCAAGTAGGCCTACTGTTGATAATTATGATAGTAGACCTGTGAATCAAGTTGCATGATAAGGCCTAGTGTGTCTCTGCCAATTCACAGGCGAGTAGTCAAGAGTCGCTCTTCGGTCATTCGCCCACCAGGCCACCACTAGATTTAGATCATCTACTTTCCTAACTGCACACTCTTGGCTGGGTGCACAACAAAATCTAGATCTAGATTCTAGATCTTGGTACGTTTATTAATTAAATACTCTCTCTCTGGGCTAATATAAATAAATTATAGTAGCATTAGATCGACACACCGCCCGAGATGATCAGTAGCCTTGCCTTGTAACCAATGTAAACTACCGCTGGCTCAGCGAGCCAATCACAATCCAACATTTTTTGGGTCCACCTAGACACCATGACTACGTAGAGCCCAATTGGGGAGTACCTAGACACTTCCAATAAAAAATCATTTCCTTTGTTTTTGAGGGGTTCCCTTTTAGAAAATTTGAATTGCACCATTTAAAAAACATACATATTTCTTTGGAATACTCTATTGCATCAATATTTATTAATCCAATGATAACAGAGTCATCTGCAAACTTAATTAAGTGTGCTGTTTTATATTTACTTCTATGATCGTTGGTATATATATTGTACTCGAAACTGGTGACAAAACACACCCTGAGGACCGCCGATTTGATCGGGTGGGGTTATGGTAGATTGCCGTATCACGGTAAACCATTAACTATATCAGCACCTGTATTTCTATGCTACATTATGTATACGTCATTCCATTACTTTTACATTATTGAAAACTTACACGCTGGTCTCTTATTTCATTATTCACTAGAGTGGACTTAAAATGACAAATTAATATTTGTGTTTTTTGTTTTTGTTTCAGATTTGACAGCTTGTAGCAAGAGAGAACCATTAGGAATAGCAAAATTTTTCCCCTTTGCGGCATCAGGGGTGGGTGGCTAATGTGAGGTGGTGTGGTGCCTGAAGGCATCGCAGGGAAGGTGTGTGTTGTTGTTTATGTCAGACTTTATGGATAAAAGTGAAATTTGTGTGTCTACAACTTTCTACAATTTAAAAAGATCAGTGGGAGGGGGCTATTTTTGTTTGTAAAAAAAAATTGAAACTTGTAACGTGAAATATGTTTCAACACTCGTTGAAGTGAAATGAACATGTTCATTTTTTGTGCGGCGTGTGGCCACTAGCGAGGACTCGAGCAAGCCAAGCTGGTGGTGACAGCTGACTCCCGCCGGCTTCCTTTGAAGTTTTCATTAGAGAGGGAACAAAATTGGGGTAGCAAAGTTTCCTTCAACATTTTTATCTTGAAAAAATATTGTGATATTCCGAATCAGCGTATCAAAATAGAGAAAGTCTACACCTAAAGGACCGGTTTTAAAGCTTAGTTCAAAAGATTTATACAAATACCGTGCAGTTTACATGTCAACGCAAAGAGTCGCCCAACTATTAATTTGGGGCTATCTATCCCAGTTTTCCATTGATTGTTGTATTAGCAAGTTAGTAAGCACAGATCTATCAGAATGGACGATTATAGAAAACTATTCGAGTATAGACAGTATTCGAGTTTGATTCTCTTCTTGTTCAGTTCAGAACATATAAAATGGTATCGAACATCAATGTGTTTTGATCTTCAATGGTTCACAGGGTTGTTGGCAAGGGTAGTTGTGCCCTGGTTGTCCTCAAAGACCACAGGCAAATTATCTTCAAGACTTATTCCTATATCATTTAGGAACTGACTGACTGAGATACAGAACCTCCTTCACTGCAACTGTGAGAGCTATATTTAGCCTCGCAGGTTGACAGAGCCTGTTGACTGACTGTTTCTTTGATTTCCATGAAATCAGAGTACCTTCATGTGTCAAACTAAAACTGTAACCTGATGTGCTGCCTCTATCTTCAGCACTGGATGCCCAGTCGGAGTCACTGTACCCAATGAGCCTCAGAGTTTCAAGATAATCTAGTCCTTCTCTTTGGCTATATCCCTTTGCCAAGGAGACCTACAAACAGGAGACGCACAGCCAATTTTCAGCCTTTCCTAGGAGAGGCCATTAGATTTACCAACATTCATAGCTTTCTTCATCACAAATCTTTTCAAATATGTTAGCTTATCCTCAAATAGTATTCTAGAGTGTATATTTTTGAAGTTTTAAGTGTTACAGTTCTTAATGCTTAATTGTTTCAGTCTAATTTTAGCAAAAATCTCTATCTAGGTTCATTAAGCAATCAAAAGTATGACTTGCTCTTCTTATCATGAAATGTTTGTAGTCTTAATTAGCTTTCATTTTTTAACATTAATGATTAAATTATGTAAAATATAAAAGCTAGAAAGAGAGAGAAGGGGAGGGAGAAAGAGGAGTGGTGAAATTGGTGAACAGCATTAACAAAACAACCAAAAAGGTAAATTTGAAGCTAAACAAGAAAAAAATATCATTTTTGCTTGTTAAATTGAATATTATTCTTTTAACTTGTGGTCTAGAGATACTAGAAGGATATACTTGATTGTTAATTGCAGAACTATTTTGCACTATGTGTATTCCACCAGCCGAGAGTTGAACTCAGATCGCCAGAGTAATTTCCAATTATACTACTGCCGGGGTGTTTTTTTGTGCTTTTTAATTATTATCTTGATCTTTTACTTACACTGTAGACTCTAGATGAGAGCCCAAGGTGGGCCTACCGGGCATCAAACAGCAGCTGCATCAGGCGCGCTTCTTCAGAGACGTCTGTAGGAGGACAGAATCCTTGTCCTGGTCCCACACAACAGTTACATCATGTGCACTTTCTTGAGGGACGTCTGTACTTCTGTAGGAGGGCAGAATCCTTGTCCTGGTCCAGTTCCAGTTTCTGAAGGCCATGAAGAAGTACATTTGAAAGGTGTTTGTACAGTTTTGAGCACCCAATGTTAATCAGTCTCTTCCTGCAGCATGCAAAATGACACGCTGTCTTCATTAAATTGGGTCCAAGGCAGGCTAGCTTATACGTGCTGACATGTGGAATAACCAGCTGTCCCCTGGAAACAGTTCCAAGAAAGTCAATAGCTTCACCTTTCAAAACCTCATCTTCCTCAGCAAAATGGATCTTGTCATGCTCAGCACATTTCTTTTCAAACCAAGCAGCTACGTATGCAGCACTGCAAACCAAGCAGCTACGTATGCAGCTCTGCTTTGTCAATTTTCAGTCAGCATCACTTCCGCTTCGCAGATCTCCATCACCACTGCATCCTCCGGGTTAATGTCAACACCTAGACAAGAATGTTGCTGTGGGGTAGGATCCACATCAAGGTCTTGAAGGTTGGAGGCAGCATATTTGGCCAGAGGTTTTTTGTTTGCAGCAAACACGACACCAGTTGTCATAAAGGCATTGGCTTCAGACAACTTGGTATACACCGAACTCCCCCTCAAGCCTGTCGCTCTGCAGCTCACGCCGTACAACATAATCAAAGGTTGGGTTTGATGGCAACAGGTAGTCGCAGATGGCCTGGAGACCCGACAGGGTTTGAACTAAGGCCTTTTTTGTGTCTCTTGTTTGCCCCTGGCCAGAAGCTGCATTGGTGAACACCTCCAGAAAGTGGCTCAACAAGGGCGTGCCTTTCACTTGAACTGCACGTGAGGGTCGTTGAACCGCTCTTCCTGTTCTTTTCGTGATACGTTCACCATGTTCCAAAAGTTCAGAACTGTCTCAATAAAGTCAGCTGTTCCATCACTTCCTTTCAGTCGTAATGCAGCATCCTTTTCATTGAAGACATTGAGTAGGCCTACATGATGCACATTTTGGAGCTGAAGTCGTGATGGATATACTGCAGCACGGATCAACGGGGTCGCTTTCAGGATGTGATCTTTTTCCTCCTCATAGAGATGAATCACATCCTCAAAGGAAGCTGTGTGGTCGTTGAGTGCGAGTGTTTCTCAGTGATCCAATTATTCTGTATGCTTTTTAAGATATGGACAGTGTCATAGAGAAGAAACCACACACGATCAGAGTTCAGTGGATGTTCAGCTTTGCCTGTTGACTGATCGAAACTGGCAAACAATGTGCAAAACTGTTGATTGACTTTATGATTGTCAGTTATTGTACCAATAACTCTGCCGCCTGCTTTCTCAACCTGTATTGCTGCCTCCCTAACCACAGAAAACTGATGTTAGCATCCAATCTGTGAACTGGTGTGACTGAAATCATAACACTAGGTCCCTTGTGCAGTGCTTCCATCATAATACTAAGCATCGAAGTCACTCTACAATCCGCTTTGTTTTTTGCCTTTCCACTGATGACGCCACCAGAGAAAGAGACTTTAGGCCTGATTTTGACTTGGTCCACCTGGAGAAACACATTTTTCTGCTGTTCTACCTCTAAATTTCTGAAAGTTTTTTCCAAAACAGATGCAATGTCCGCAGATGAGATAACAGACTGGAGTTTCCATTTGCTGGCAGAATCAAGTACTCTCTAAGCTGCTCATACTTACAATGCGGGAATGATTCAAGAGCAAAACAATAGTCCTGAAGAGAATATTCTTTCTTGATGAAAAGCTGAAGCAGATGAGTGAGAAATACAAGTTTTTTCCTTTTGTCGCTGTCCGTACAACAGTCCGAGTCTAGCTTTTCATGCACACCCAGAATGCTCACAATTTTCTCAACTAAAGAATCAAAATGGGGTTCAAAGTTCACAGCTCTTCGCACAGCATCAAAAAACATCTGATGTGATTTAAATCCATTGTTAGGGTGAAGATAGTTTCCCAGTGGTACCCTGATTCCACTCTTGAAGGCCTTGAAACTTAGTGGTGAGGTGAGAGTAACTTTGTTTTCAACCACAACAGGAAGTACAGAATCACTGTAATCGTCTGTCGTAAAAACCCACACCAGACGATCATCAGTTCTCGAGATAATGAAGTTCTTGTACAATTTCTTCAATTCCTTCTCTGATTGAAAGGCGGCAAATGTTGAGACTTCGTCCTTCGCCTTCAGGGACTCGAGCTGCCTAGCTTCAATGTTTGATACATCTGTGCGACGTCAAGACTTTGGTGTTGGCAAACAAGACCTGGGCACATCAAAGATAGAAGAAGGAACTGCAGGTCGTGTGCCACCAGGTACTTTCACAAGAGGATATCCATCAGCGGGCCAGTGATTTTCACAAAGAAAAAACTTGTCCGGATCGATCACAAAGTATCGGCGTAGAGGGATTTTATCAATCCACTCCTTCCCCTCACTCTCGTTCTTTGGGGTAGTCTGAATACCCTACACTTGTTCTTTGCATTGTAGTTGCCCTTACAGTTCACTAGATTACACTTGTTTACCATGATTTTACTTTAAAAAGCACGATTTCAAACTTTCAAATGAGCACAAGAATTAAAACATCATGGGCGCTGCCATCTTTGACCAAAGCACTCAGCTGTTATGAATACACCGTGCAAAATAGTTCTCCATTCACCTATCTGATAATCATACTAAACTCATCTAATACACCCTTGTAATAAATACACATGCATCTAAATAATTCTGAATGACACCGAATGAACAAAACCGTATCAAGCAGCGCCAAAAAAAAATATTTTTTTACAGACTTCCTGTGCCAACTCTGTCTATTTTTAACGCGAGCCGACCCAGTTTCAACCCTCCGCTGTGAAGCTGGCTTACCGCTGCCTGCTGGCCTTCACTGAGAGACACGGGAAAGCTCCGCTGCGAGTCCATGAAGTAGTAGTCCATGCCCTTTGCCCACATATCGAGCGTTGTAGGAATTGGAACCATTTGCACTTTCTTTGATTGTACAGTAAACACCCATTTTCCCCCCCACTGATTGTCTACCCTCAGGGAGAGTGGTCAGAGTGTAAGTACCATTTTCTTTCAGGGAGTTGATTTCTTCAGTCATTTCTTCTTTCCAAAACTCTGATTCAGATGAATCGGTGGCTTCTTTAAACGTTTGAGGAAAAGAAGAAAATTTGTAGCAAAAATCAACATTCAACATGACATTGTCTTCACCAGATTTTGTGTCATAATCAGACATGTACGAAGGAGGTTTTTCTCTCTGTTCTGGAATATCTCCCATTTTGCTCAACAGAGGATGGCTCATTTTCTGGTTGTTTACATTCTGACCTCTCATCAGGAACATTTTCAACAAATAACAATAGGAATTGTACTTTTGACAAAAACATCATCATCTGAAAAGTCAGTGGTATGAGTTTCACCTTCAACACAATCAAAAACTTTCTTTAGGACTACAAAGTGTACCACTCTACATCTTATCTCTTTCCCAGTATCACAAAAATAATCAAGTGTGCTGGACTGCACCTATAATATCCAACAAAAACTCCCTCTTTGCATCTCTAGTTTAGTTTTTTCTTCTGCTAAGAGTACACATAACAGTCGCAGCCAAAGACTCGCATGTTCGAAAATATTTGGTCTGCGCCCTGTCAGTGCTTGTACTGATGTTTGTTTCTCCCTTGGATTGAAACACCTGTTTCGATTGTACACTGCTGTGTGCACTGCATAAGGCCACATCTCTTTTGGCAGCTCATATCTCCCCATTTAAAAAATGGTACGCCACTGCCTTTCAGCTGTCCCATTTTGATGGGGCGAGTAAGGAGCTGACATTTCTTGCTTAATCTGATTTTTCCTTAGGAGTGCCTTAAACTCTCCGAAGGTGAATTCTGTCCCATTATCTGATCTAATTGACTTTACCTTCCCTTTTGGGACTGAATCTTCAAGAAGCCTTTCTGTTGACCCCAATAGTCTCAATTTTACTTTTCAAAAAGTACACAAAACATTGCACCAGAATAGTCATCTGTAAATGCAATTGCATACTTAAAGCCTTCATGTGAAGTTGGAGTAATTGGACCTGTAAGATCAGAGTGCACCAACTCCAAAGGAGAAGTGGCACGTTCACGTGGATTCTTACTTCTCTCATTCGTCATTTTCCCCTTCACACACCTCGCAGTCCTTCTTCTTTGCCTTCCCACTTATCTTCATGCCATTGACAACACTTTCAAGCCTCAAAACATAATCAAAATTGCAGTGCCTAAGTGTTTCATGCAGCCCATAAGATCCTGAATGTAATTCATTTTGTCAACAGTATCATCTGAACTGTTTGTATTGAGATTTTACAATTTGCCCGGCTTTTCAATTGGAAAGCTTACAGCACCATTTTTGTCAAGTTCTGCTGTATCTGAGTGGAATGAAATACTTGCTCCTTCACCTGTGGCTGCATGAACTGAAAAAATATTCTGAGGAAAAATTGGTACATACAGAGCATTTTTCAGAGTAAAATCTACAGAATTACCATCAGAATCTGTAAATTTCATACTTGCATTTCCTCTCTTCATGGCTACATTCACTCTTTCTTCATTCGCTAGCTCTATGGAATGTTTTTCAGATCTAAATGTGTAATCAAATGAACTGAACTTTGACACATCATTCAAATTATGGGCACAATCAATCAAGTCAGCTTTGAATTCTATTTTCTGATCAATGTTCGTTTTCGCTTTGAATGCGAATGTATGTTTTTGGTCATCTCTGTGGGCTGCCGTCTCTGTATCGTGCATCCGCAACCTCATTGACTGTATCTGTTGTGTTCTTCCTTTGAAATCTGCATGTATTGTCAGAATGTCAGAGGGATTATTCTTTCTGCATAACTGGACCACAGTTTCTTTTGCCTTTAATTCTTAGAGAAGTGTCCGGGTTGTCCACATCTGAAACATACAGGAGAACTCTTGTTGTCACCCATAGCAGCTCTAACGCTGCCGGTACCTTGACTGGCTGCCCTTTGCCCACTCTTCAGAAGAGAATCACCAGACTGGACCCTTGATTTTTTAGTCTCTTTGAAACTCCTCAAAGAGATCTTAAATTCTGTTATCTGTTGTTTTTTATCACAGCAACTAAGGATTGGAAGGTTTCAGGTTGACTTTTTAAGATCATAGCTATCAGAAGGCTATCTGAGACTGTCTCATCAGCATTTTTCAGTGCTGCTGCTGCTGTTTCTGCTCTAATGATATAGTCTGTCACACTTTCTTCATGTTTCTTCACGAGGGAAGTCAGTTCTGTGTACAAACTAATGATTCTTGGAGTGCTTGAGCCTGCATAGAGTTGACGTAAAATCTTGAGAGCCGCTCTCCCATCATCTACAGCATCTCACTTTTTAACCAAAAACAAACTCTTGTCGTCTAAAAACTGGATAAGCTCACTTACTTCTTCATTTTTAGCTTGGTCAACTTCTTCACCATCACCTGCCAGTATGATGTCTTTCAGTTTCTGTAGTCTCATGTACCCTTGAAACTTCACCTCCCATTTTTCATATTTATTCTTATCCCCATCGAATAAAAGTCTACTGTACCGCGAACTGGGCTCATAACCTGTTGAGTGGGTACTAGTTTGACTTGCCATGGTGAGGGTACATAACAAAAACAGGCACTTTGGTTGTACACTGTAAAGATAAATTAGCAGACAACGGTTATGCTGTTCAGGTGGAAGGAAGGAGAGAGTGAAAGTAATCTCCCCTGCTTTTCTGGATTTGCAAATGAAAAATCCACGACTAATTACCGAAACATAACATGAATGATCAGAAGTTCAATAGTGAAACAGAAGAAATAGACTCGAGAACAATCCTGAGGTTGCGGGTTAGGGGGTTCAAGCCTCAGGCCCGTCGTTGTGTCCAAAGTGCGAATTTTCCTCACTTCACCCAGGTGAGCATGGGTACTCAGCCATAGACAGTATGTTCGTGATTCGTGTTCTAGTACTGAAAAGAAATGGCAGCTTGCACTATGCTTCCCAGGAAGATGGGGTTGTTTCAGAATGCTATCAGGTCTGCTGGGGTAATAATATATAGATTGTAAAGTGTATAGAACTAGCTGTTGAGTGAGATTTGCTCTATACAAATGCTATCTATTGTGATTTGTGTTACAAGAGGGTTGATGGTGAAGATTTAGACAATATAACCCCTGGAATTCTTTTCGGTTTAGAAATCGAAGCATTTTGGCTTATCAATAGTTTTCTTACACAGAGGAAAAAAGGGAGCTTCTATTTTCTTTCCATTTCCATTTACCTCTGTTTTTGGATTAATAAAACTGTGTTTAGTTTAAACACACTTCACTATTTAATAGAGATGAAGATTGGGAAGTTTGTGATGCTGAAAACTTAGATAGCCTTCCCTGTACTGAGCTTAATGGCTGTGAAGTAGCTTGTGGTAGAGTTTGAATAAATGAGATGGTCTTTGCTAACAATGTAACCAATCTTACGAGTGGGTGGAAGTGATGACTGTTTTAGTTCTTGGGTAAGTTGCTTTGAAAGTGGATTGACCTTTATGTATTTAATGAGTAACAGTGAAAGGTCTTTTTTCAAAAGCAATTTTGATGTTTTAGTAGTCTAGATTGTGAATGATTGTAAATGGCTGATGGCCCCCATCAACGCCATATGTATCCTTTAGGATGCAGACTACTTTAACCTTACCAATCAGGGTAACCTGGGATTAACTTACTGTTAAATTAACTTAAATAGAGATGTTATAATATTTAATATTCTCAGTGTGTGAATTAAACTGTCTCTCTTAAATGATAAAGAGTCAAATGATTTTTTTCAGAGATGCAAATGTACATTTGAAGTTTCTTGTGGTAATTCAAATCACTTGCGATATTAAAACTTTGCCCCAGGCAAGCAGATGTTTGTTAATCATGAGATGTATTTATGAAGCTTTTATTTGTGATGGATGTACAAACACAGTGGATTCGCCTTCCACTTCCCCACCTTTTTTGGGGGTATCTGCCTCGCCTCCCTTTTTTGGTGAATGTTTTTAATCAACAACAAATGCGTTGCGCGTGCTACAGTGGGGTCGCCTTTCGTCCCTTTCGCTTCACTCCCCCATACTGCAAAAAAAAAAAAAAGGGAGGGATCGATAACTAAGGTCTGTCCTTAAATTTCATTCTCCTCGCTCGTTCCCACTGTGTATATATAGTGGTATTGATGGGTGTTGTCTTGCATCATTTTAAAAAATTGTGGTTTTTGTTTTACGTAAGGTCCAATCTTATCAACAAGGGGAAGCAGGAATGCATCAGCTTTCATTTTCAGATAATTTTTTTTTTTTAAATCGTCATTTATAAAAAACATTATCCACTAAATGATATTTGCAAAAAGTAAATTTTTCTCGGAGTTCATTGATTCTATGAACCCCAATATCAACGTGAAATTTGACATCGGCCTTTTAACTAATGCAGCATCAGCAGCTGCACAGAGCAATAAAAAAAAGATGAGGGGAGGAGGGCGAATCCACTCTGTCACTTCAGGTCCCTTCCAATTCGCCTCCCTTTCCTCACATTTTTGTTATTTGACAAAAGGGGGTGAAAGGCTGATCCACTGTGTTTGTACCTTTACACCCTCCAACCACCAGCAAGTCAAAGTGTTGGGTGTCACAGCACAGGAGAGAATGACTAAAGCAGTTTTTCTTGTTATCATTCTCTTCTTTAGTCTTTCCCACTTTCTTAAAAGGGACATGCTTAACTTAAAACATACAAAGCTGTGAGACTCACAACTGTGTCCAAAGAAAAAAAAAATCTTTTGCATTGGTACAATTACTTTTTTAATGAAAAAAAAAAAGAAATAAAGGAAGCTCTAGAATGACAAGGCACACATCAAAATAGTCACATTCATGTCAAACAGTATTAAGAAACTAACAAGGTAATATTCTAGTAGGCCTACATCATATGCTACACTAAGTTATAAGATTGTAATTATGTTTCACCCCCATCGATACAGTTTAGATAACTGAGAAGGCAGGCTGCTTTAACCCTGCCCGTCACGGTCATTCAGATTTGAATGGGTTATAGTACTTATAGCATCCCAGCTGACAGAAAGTCATACTTGAAAGGATAACTTAGGATAGCTTTGACACTCAGGAATTGAAATTGCATCTTCTGTGGGCAATGCTGAAGAGCCCATTCTTTAGGTAGACCATTACAAAAATTCTTAGTTTTGAATTTATTTGAAAATACAATAAATATATCATGTTCGTTTCCTCTAAATGTGAAGCTTGGGGAAATTAGTTTCTATTCAGCTTTTATATAGGCCTACTACTATGCTTGATTTCTTTTTAGCTAAGTGTAACCATCATGTTTAAGTTTTGAGTTTCAATTCTCAATTGTCACAAACATGTTGTTCCAGATCTCTTACTGTTCAGACACTGATATACATTTGTCTCTCTTTTTTCAAAATGTTCTCAAAAGATAGATCTACCTACTTCTGACTCTTGTTGGTTGTGTTGGGTTCATCGCCATCTACTCATTTTACTATAATAATCGATCAGTCGCTCATTTTATTTTCACTTTGATTATTCACACATATAAATATAACTGAACTTCAAGGAGACTGTTTCTTTTCATGGGCTCAATCATACTCAGATTATAAATATATATACGTTGCATTTTAGAAAATATTTCCCATTGCTTGCCCTATGCCGAAACTGGTCATTATGACATCATTTATTTTTTACATAAATGCAATGTAAATATGATTAGTTTGAATATATTTGATCAATACTATTGATATGGTTGTATTTATTTGGACGGATGTCTTGAAGTGGAATGACTTATATGGAATAGTAGTTTGAATAAATTATGCTATTACTACCTTTGGCTTCTTTGTTTGAGTTTTAATAAATTTCACATTTAAACTTGATAGCTGATAGTAAAATTATTTTGGGAGAAGACATATTAAAGAAATAAGGATACTTGAACTGAAAGAGCTTTTACTTTTAGAAACATTTGCTGTACAGAGAGTCTTTTACTGCTTAATTTCTTACTAAATTTAATGACTAAAGTCTACAAGTTAATGTCATATCAAGCCATAACACTGTCCCATGTAGAGACAATATTTTTCAATACCGAGTGTGAGTTGTTGACAGGCATAAAAGTTTTTTCTTTCCCTCTGTTATTTCTGTTTGTCGACCTCCGACCTTGGTTTCCTTGCACATAAATAATTACCGTAATAATCATGTTGATGTGCCTCTTTTTACTCAAAGATGGTAAAAAATTGTTTAAATTTAAATGATGGCATATGGTATGGTAGGGAAAAGCATCATGTGCCAATATCTTCCAGCGCCATATGTTATTGTCATTATAAGTTATTTATAATTAATTGTCAATATGAAGTCTTATATGACTTCTACAGCAGAAAGTTACAATAAGTTGGTTTTCTTGATGGTCAAAACCACTGTGTTTAGAATTTCAATGTAAATTCAATCTTCTAGATAAGGGAAAGATTATTATTATTTGAAAATGAATTTAATTTTTTAACTTTTATCTTTTCTTCCTCTAACTCTTTATCTCCGGCAAGCTGCTCCCAGCGGCAAATCGCTTTTCGGGAATTGCCAAAAACAGGTCTCTTAAACCGGAAGTTCATTCATTAGATGAAGAACTATCAAAATAGGTTTGCTAGTTTTGATTTTATGACCCACTTAAACTTAATGACGTTTTTGTCATTTTTAGATTTAGCACCAAAAAAAAGGGCCCCGGCGTAATGGGTTTACCCCCTCGGAGATAAAGAGTTAAAATAGATACACACTGGCCATGCCTGTCTAATGATGTATGAGAAAGTTCAGTTAAGCTATGGAGAAAGATTGAACAGATGATACGCACTAATTGTTAGCTTTGTGTTTTAAGAGTATTTTTTTTTTGTTTCATTATTTTCCTATGAGGATTCTAAAAGGAGGTTATTTTATAGCAGTGAAAAAGATGTTGAAAAGGCTCTTACTTTTAAGGTTTTTTAAAAGCATTTTATTTAAGTATAAGAAAACACAAGGTTGAAAAATGTATAAATCAATGGCATATATTTAAGTCTCAAATCCAAGTTTGAGCCGCAAGATGATGCTTTCTCATCCATAGCCTAAAATTCTAAGAAATATAATGGAGCCCACTACTGGTCCAGTTTCCATTGCAAAAAATTTAAGAAGTGCAGTATGTTTGGCATTTTTTGCTTCTTGAGGAACATGTCTAAACACGGCATATGAACAGTAAAATGAGCTCTCTAAGCTTTTTATTATCTACCTTGAAGTTGGAAGCTTAATTTAACAACAACAAAAAATACCCCGCTGTTCAGCAGTGTAGCATACTTCTCATAAATAAGAACATTTATAACCATTTCATATCACATGTAAGCACATCTATGCAATACTCTCAATGAAGCTGAGAGTCAATAAATAGGATATATTACACTGCTAGGGCCTTCAAAGCCTGTTGTCACATCGCAAGTGGACAAAGATAAAACAACATTCTTGAATGTAGTAAATCAACAGTTGTACATAGGTGGTTTTTAAAACCTTTAACTTGGTTCCACTTAAAGCTTTGTATTAAATTAAATCTGATCACAAGTTCATCAGCATTTTGCTGACTACGTAATGTGATGTTTATAAGGCTTAAAAAACATATTTACAAAAGAAAGTAGATCAAAAACTAATTTCATGAAAATTAGGAGCGAAAATACACACCATGAAGCATCGTATGAGAAAAAGATTTGGCAATATTATAAATAAAGTTCACGCTTGAAGCTATTCGTTAAAATAACATGACAAAAACAGAACACATGAAAGCTTTCTTACATCAAATACATTAGTGATGGAATGTAATACATTCAAGGCACTCAAGGTTTGGCTTTTCTTTTGCCTTACAGAATCAGGAACTCTATTCCAAGCACTGTAAACAAACACTTGTCAAAATATGGAAGCATTATTTTATACAATAGGTCTGACAAGGAAAAATACTTTTTTCTATTGAGATTGAATAGTTTTCTTTCTCAGTATACAAAATTGAATGGGTTTCATTGAAGAACATGTGCTCAAAGGCAAGAGACAAACCTTTTCTATTGACTGTTGCAGAGTGCTTCATGTTAGACTTGCCCTTCTTTGAACGATCCAACAAACCCAAGCATCAATGCAACAGAATTATTTTTCTGACATCTGTAACCTCTCAAAACTCCTTTGTCTTTGCTCACTGTTATCGATTGAAAAATGCTCTTTCAGGTTCGAATTCAGAACTTGGCCCCATCATAATCAACATTCTCATAGTCATACTCATAGGCATTCTAGACTGAAATTGGGATGAGCCCTCTTAAAGCATGCTTGTCGTGGACGGAAATTGAAACACTTGAATAGCAATAACACACATAACAGTCTTGTATATTTTTTTGTACTCTTAGTCAACTTAGTGCTGAAGAGTTCTCCGTACCAAGGAAGTATAGGAAATGGAAGCTACTGCACTGATCACAGTACTGTGATCATTTTAATACTCTCTTTTGAAAATCAACTTGTCAAACTTATTTTGGTACACAAACTAAGTTTTAAGGATAAGAAACTAGCAAATACTCGAATCTTCCACCCATCCACCTTAAACACACACCCACATACACACACACAAACTTTTCCCAGACAAAGTGAACAAGCTATGGGCTATTTGACTGTTTGCTTTCTCCAGGGAACTTAAATCTGGCCCTAAGAAGAAACAAAACCTTTAAAAAATTATATATAATATATATTTCATATTTGGACGGACAGGAAAACTATGATTTATGGCATTAATTTAAAATACTTTATGGAGAAAAATATCTAAAATAAAGTAAGTTTAAATTCTCTTGTCCCTTTCAGTAACAGTAAAGGCCCAAACTATAATAATGCATAATGACAAGTAATACAAGTGGAAGACTCAACTCTGAACAACAATGAGTTAAATAACAGTCATGGTTATAATTGGATTTCGTTTACTGCAGGCTTATAACAAATCCCAGAGTCCGAGCTCTTACAATGAAAAGAATAAAAAGTTCTTTTTCAGCAGGCATTTGGACAGACATGCTCTGCTATAACATAACAGTAATCCAACCATTGACACACTCCTAAAACAAACCTGCAAGAAAGTAGAAAAAAAAACAATGTGTGGGTGTGTTCCTTTTCCTAACTATAGTAATTATTCGAATACATTATATTCATGTCGTTGTAAAACATACAGAACATATTGTAGGACATGGGCATGTGCAATATAAATGCAATTATTATTATTATTACATCTGCATCTCAAATGATGTTTAGTCGACTCCGATGCAACTAAGTTTACTAAGCCAATATTACTGGAACTTGAAAAGAAAGGAGCAACAACTGATAAATTTGACAGTGGGTAATCTATGTACTTGACCATCAGTTACACTGTGTAAACTTGATCCTTGTCTATGACAGGCTTCGGTTATAACAGGGATATCACGCTGGTGCCGATGGTCCTGGCAAGGCCGGGGCACACAAATATATTATAAAAGTACTTATCACTTTAACGGCCTTTGGCATAACTTAGTAGTGGTAAGACCATACCACAAAGAAGTTAAAATTACCACAAATGGTTCCATGATTTCTGTATGACATTGACAGTTTTCTACCTTTTGAATCATCCTTCCTTTGCAAAGACAAAGTGACCAAGTAGATTTATTCTTATAATAAAGAAAATGCTTATTATGGCTCCATATGACCTCTTACCCAGCCACACCCCCAAGACTTTATTTGGGCTACCCGGTACATGTTCTACTCAATGGTTATTGATCTTATGGGGGTGGGGGTGACCTATTTGGGCTACGTAACTAATATATTATTGTATATAACATATATTGAAAAAGTTTATTTGGGCTACGTAAAGCCTTAATAAGGTCATCCTCTTTTAAAACCTCACAGCTAAAGTCAAAATTCTTTGCAGTCTCAGCAAATTCAACTGCCAGCTAATTCTTTGCAGTGTCAGCAAATTCAACTCCCAGCAAATTTTTCCAGTCTCATTCATCGTCTGACGTAGAGCTTGTTAACAGTATTTTCTTTTTTTGTGCTATACTATTTTTTTACCCTTAAACTTAAAGCCTCTTCGTTACGCTTACTTCAAGTTTAAAAAGTCCTGGCTTGTTAAATAAGCCTATTGTGATAAACAGACACACGCACATACACACACACACACACACACACACACACACACACACACACACACACACACACACACACACACACACACTTGTAGGCTATATATACACACACACACACACACACAATATTATAAAGATAAACACATATCTATTGATAGAGAAGAATGTTAAACTGTACCAGTTGCATATCTAATTTTCTTTCAAAGGGTGGGCAAATACGTCTTATTTGTTTTTGGCCCAGCTTTTCTTTAACCATATCCGTATGTCGTGTTTTACTATCGTGTCCATACAACGTGGGAAACTGAGTGCCACCACTTTCCAAAGAGGAAATTTACTCGTTAATCCGATCTGTATGCTTTGCATAGCACTAGCAGTCTCTCAAAATGATTTTTGAGAAATACTGAAACTTTCAGAGAGATCTCGCACTAGAAGTATTCTAAAATGTGAAAAATACCACCCCGTGGATACAAAATAACCCCAGGGCCTATGGATAGGGTTAAATAGAATAAGTTTTCTTTTCAACATTGTCTGTTTAGCTGGCAAATTCACAAAGTTTCTTTGAAATCCCCATTTCTGTTTTTTGTACCTTTGAAGTTTGATTAATTTGACTGAGTAGGTGTTTTACGGCAATGTCCCTGAAGTTGAAAACCATTACTCTGAATGAATGAGAAAAACATTGTTTAAATAATCGAAACATGTGCCGGTATACAATTTACAGATAAAATAGACTTGCCAAAGAGTGTTTCTGTAACAAATCTAACTAAATTGAACACAAAATCACATTTGCAAAAAAAGTACGGTATGTGTACTGTAAATCAATACAGTACAGTATAAACTATAACTCCTTCAGATTGAAAAAGAAAATTCGCCTTTCCTGCTATTTAGATGTTGACATCTCAAGTACGAATGTATTTAAGGTTCTGAGACTTGAACATGACAAAAAGAAGGAACCTCCTCAACATAACAACACCACAGTACATATTTTTATGTAACAACATGCTACAGACAAAGTGACTGTGTTAAAACATAACTATCCAAAAAAGCATTGATCACTTATATTATAGTCCATAACAGCAGCTGTTATAATCTATGACCAATACAGTGGAATCCTGTTATAACGAGAGGGAGGGGCCTGATGCGAAATGTCCATTATACTATAGCAGGATTCTCGTTATAAGGGATCCAGTAATAAATAGAAGGGAAATAATAGAGTAGGGCTAATCTATGAGTTTGGTGTTCTGTTTATTACTTTTTGTTATCTCACCTGATTATAAATTTGTTCAACATGACCTCCAGGTCTTGATCAAAAATAAAATCAAGTTTCTTTCGCTAGTGCTAGCAATGTTGACAGCTCAGCTTTGGCGATCAGAAAGAAAGGGCTCTGTGCTAACTCGCCCGCTGTGTCGTTCCCCACCCCACCACACCCTGTGGTGCATTCTGTCTGCTTGCGCACGTCACACATTTGCTTCATCCATCACAGCACTGTGACCTCTCCATCTCCGCATCTGAGAAGTGAGAGGCAAGGTAGTGGTAAGTCTAGATAATCTAGACTAGGCTAGGCTGGCCTATCACGCGATGCGTTCTGCTTGTCTGCGTATGCCACACCCTCCCCACTCATTCGCTCCGGCCTTCATTGTTGTTGGCACACATGGGTTCTCCCATTCTTTGTTTCGCTCAAGGAGTTGTCAGGTCCTCGGTTTCTCTAGATCACCAACAGGTTTCTCAACTGGCGAGGTTTTGTACACGTATAACTGGCCTATGCGCTGTGCACAGCAGCAGCAATATTCCATTATAACCGACAAGCGTGTTTGTCTGATCGCGCTATAGCAGTATTTTATTTACAAAGATAAAGAAGAAAAAAACCGGGGTTTTAGAATAGTGTCTTTATAACAGACTTCTTGTTATTTCAAGACTCGTTATAAGTGGACTCCACTGTATATCCAAACATTAGCAGGCCATGTGATAAGCAACTATGGCTTGTTTACTTTTGTCTGAAAGGAAGAGAATTTTACCTCTCTACACAAGAATGAGCTAAGCCCACAACTGTTACTTTGGAGGCTGGGTTTTGCCCTCACCAACACCAAGCAGTGAGGCAGCTGAATCTTTGGATTCCAGTAACTGGTCAATGGTGGCACTCTCCACTCCCAGTAGATTGTGAAGCATATCGTCATTGTCTTCATTTTCCTCTTTTGTCTCAGCCCTCTCCTCTTTTGAACTTTTACTTGTTCTTTTAGTTGAGTCTTTTGTGGGTTTTGATGATTGTCCTGCATTCAAGATATGAGACAGCAAGCATTATTTCTAAAATTATAGTAGACAGACATTCAGAGAGACACACTCTGACATAAACTCATAGACACATACATCCACTCAAACACACACACACATACACACACACACACACACACACACACACACACACACAGAATGACACAGACAGACTGGAACACATACTGATTCAGAAACTCACTAACACACTTGATACAAACACTGGACACACCTAGCCAGTGACATCCCTTTTTGCCCTCACTGCTTTAAGAAAAGGATAATTTTATTTTTAATGGCCCTTACACTTACAGGAGTCCTATAACATTTGCAACCATTTCTGGTTGGTACCTTAAACTTAAAGAGGGAATGATTTGTTTTCTTGTAATCTGATCTGTCCTACCAGAGATGTCCACATGTCTAGGACAGCCCCTTTTTTCTTTGACAATGGATGGCAGCCCTGAACAATTTTGACTGCATTTTCACATTAGATCAGCATATTAAAAAAACAAACAACCTTAATAAATAGGCTAAAAACAACAAAAAATAAAGCTGTGACTGCAGAGAATATCATTCTCAATGCTATTTCGTTCGCTTGTGAGTATATCAAATTTTAAGCAAACGATACTTGGAGTTCTCAGAATTAGGAGAAATTCTAGTTGATCCATTCTATAGGGAAGGTAAACCACAAAGAGTGCTTTGCTTTAGCTTTAGTAAGCATTTGATTGGGTAGATGTTTTACGGCACTATCAACACATTTTTAGTAAGCATTTTATGGCACTTGTAATACAATAAGGTCATGTATGTGCTGGAGATTTTTAGTGTTACATGAAAGTAACAAACAAAAAAATGAGGTGAGATAAACAATAGATCTTTGATAGAAAGAAGGATCAAATCCCCCGGTACCAGAGCACCTGCCAACCTCCAGAAACAAAGAGTGTTTAGTCTTATATTATAACAATAAAAGAAGACAAATAACCCTGACAAACTTGTATGAATACATGTATAATATAATGCCAATCTCGCCACCATGCCCATGTTGACAATAGGTTACAAAGGTGACTGTGTATAATTTTAACCATTCAAACTTTAAAATAAATAACCATGGTGAACACAAAGAATGACCAACAGAAGATTTTTCAGTTTTTACAATTTTACAAAAGAGCCAAGAAATTTGCATTAAACTTTAACTCTTTGAATATGCGTCAGTGGGAGGGGAACCTACCGGGCGGTCGCAGCGTCGGCAGATAATCCGCTGACGATTTTAAATGTGTTTATTTGCTTAGCTAGTGGTCTAAGGTGGACAACCCCTATCATTGGAAGCTCGTTCAAAGCCCTATAATTTGCTTGATTTTCTTTAATTGCTTTCGAATTAGGATTGCTTTGCATGGCGTTTGTTTCAGGCCCATTGTTTTGAACGAAATGTCGCAGTTTCTATCCAAAATGGCGAGCTCCAGGTGACGCGATTTGATGCGGACTAAAGAAGCTTTGGAGTTGTTTATGGATGATGGCAGTGATGAGGAGTTAGATTTAGAGTTTGAAGAAGAAAGTTCAGATGATAGTGATGATGAATCTATAGGCCTACCACTGGTAGGTAGATCATACCTTGTCAAAAAGAATTTCCTTTTGAGGGCAACTATAGCGATCTTTTAGTCTGGATCAAGGTAAGACTGGTATTGTGAATGTATGATTGAATGGTATTAGAGAAAAATAGAGAAATTGTACTTTTTAGTGGTGTAAGTGTGATTTTTGTACTGTTGATAGGAAAAAAATGGTGACCTGGAAAAAAAGGGCAAAGAAGGCGCGTCACAAGTCACAGCTTAGGGTACCGAGAAAGGGAAAGTAGGTGCGTCTTCATATAGTTAAAGATAATAAGGACGTTATTATCAAAATTATTATATTTTTTTAAATATTGACCTGGAATGTTTGCAAAGAGTTTGTTTTCTTGTCAACAACATGTATTTTAACAAATGATGGCAGTACTCTTCAGATAATTTTTGGGTTTGAAAGTATTGCTGTCAAAACAGGGGGGTATGGACTAAAGGAGAAGCTGTACGAGCTAACACAAGCGTTCAGCAAGAGAGCCCAGTTCATGATAGATATTGAACTTCAAGTATGAGTTTGAAATGGTTAAGATACTCACCTCCAACATCATATTCTGATTCCTCATCATCACTCATGGCATCCAAAGACATACCAGCTCCAGCGTGGTGTTTTGCCATGTGTCGATTAAGACTGTGCTTCAGTGTGAACTTCTTGGGGCATAAATTACAGCTGAAGGGATGCTCACCTACAGCAAAAAAAAAAAAGCCAAAAACAAACACATTGAAAGTTGATTTTGTGTCATCAGTAGTCTAACATTTAGGCTGCTAGACTTACAGCAGGCGTAAGTATGCAGGCTCTAATTCTAGTCCTGATCTTTTTTTAGTTTAAGTAAAAGTTTTTACTGCACTTGCAATACAAATATATAGTGTCGAGGATTAGATCTGTTACGAGAGAGTAACATACAAAAAAAAGGTTTTAAAGATAAGGAGGACAGATGTTTAATAGGAAAAAGGAGCAAACCACACCAGAGCAGCTGCAAACTACCAACTGTTGTAAGTCCATCAATGTTCTTGGAGAAAGCAGTAGGCTCCTCTCATGTTTTTCCCACTTCACCCAGCTGAGAATGAATACCCGGCTGATGTGTGAGATTCTGTTAGATAGTATTGCATTTGAGGGCCTGTAAAACAGCAGCTTGCACTCTCTCTATCTGTCTTGTAATTTTTTAAAGGCAGCCGGTATATATTTTGGGACCAATCACGAATCAGTAAACAGCTGGGTCATGCCAGGAGGTAAGACTCTCTGTCCTCTGGTGGCCAATCTTCTCTCTTTCTCTCTCTCTCTCTCCCTTTCTTTCTCTCTCAATAAGAATGGCTGATGCAAATACCCATCCCTTTGAAGCGGGACGAATTTTTAATTTACCGTATCGTGAGTTTGAGGAAGAATTTCGGAAGTATGTACAAATGTACAGACCGATAGTGGCTACTTGAAATAGAACAAAATGGTCAATTTTTAAGAAGTTGCATAGTATTGCGTTTCACCAAATTTTGGTTGAAATTCTAAAAATTTGATACTTATCTTCGAACTTGGAAATTTATGTCCTTCAAACTAAAAAATGTAACATTCCCTTGATTTAATTTAAACTTGTTTGAAGTTTTGTTGAAATCGGTCCAAGATGACCGAAGTTATTGTCCTTTAAAAATTAAATGGGTCCTTTTTTAGACACAATTTATAATTTTTATTAATTTCATATACAGTCAAACCTGTGTAAGACGGCCACCCTTTGTCAAGGAGAAAAGGCAGGACTGATCAAGATGAAGAAAACAAAATATTCCCATCTGAAGTCTCAATCGAAAGTAGCCGCATTCTTGTTGTTTTTGTTGTTGTTGGTTTGTATTTTGTTTGTTATTTTTATTTTGTTGCTGATTTTGCGTAAGGGTGACTATAAAACGAAATGTGTCAGACGCCGAAGACCGAGTGCCATGTTAAAACAAACATATGGGTCGTCACCACTCGGAGAATAAGCGACGCTTCTGTCACAAGTCCATGTTGACGTCCATTGTTACTTTGTTACAGACTGGGTAAATAGTGACCACTCATCTCACGTGCGATTTGTGTATGAGTTCTGGGCGGGGCTTATGGGTTATGAGGGATCACATGCTTACCTCACCAGCAGCTGAAACTTGGTACCTATTGGTCAACAGTGGGAGGGGCCTACGCAACATGATCGGTTGGAGGGACTACCTAACAACAACGACAGGTGATTGGATTATGACGGCTCGCCCACAATTTTTGACAAAACTTAATGGAGTCACTAAGGTGGCCGTCAAAGACAGGTGTTATTGCTTAGTGTGATAGGGGTTGTGTGTTAAAATATGGTGGCCGCGGCCGCGTTGGACAGGTGCCCGTTTTACACAGTTAAATTATATAGAAAAAAAGCAAGGGGGGAAATGGAAAGTGTCCGATTGTACAGGTGGCCGTCTTATAGAGGTGGCTGTCTTATAGAGGTGGCCGTCAGGGCAGGTTCGACTGTATATATATGTGTCATGACGCGGTAAAATTAGGTGTTCGTCAATTTTTGGGCCTGTTTGCTTTGTTTCAGCGTAAAAATAGCAAGAAAATGGCCGCCAAAGTTGATAACTCCAGAGTTCCCCATATTATTCTATCATATATGCAATGAACTCGTCGTGTATAAATAAAAGCATTCATATGTCCTTTATTGTTGAGAGCAGCCCTTCATTGGTATTTAACCAGAGCTGGGAGCTGAGCTGATAGATGGCCATTGAGAAGCATGGGTAGGTTGAAAAAACACATTATTTAAGTCTCATCTCACCTGTATGGGATCTCATATGTCTCCTCAAATCTTGCAAACACCAAAATCTTTTTGGACACAATGAGCAATGTACTTTTCGTTGCAAGTAATCAGTGGACACCACTTCCTGTAAAAAGCTGGGGTCTGTACCTTCATCCCCACTGCACTCATAGCTGGGAGCATGGTTTATGGCCTCACCATCGATCGATTCTGTCTCATCACCATCTTTATTCCTTTCGACCTTGTTATCTTTAGACCGAGTCAGGACTCCACCCGGAACTTCCCTACACTTCGTATTGTCTTCCTCGGAGGCTGCTTTTTCGGTGGCATCTCCTGATGAAGTAAAAAGAGATCTTTTTTTATTATAGTGGAATGTGGAAATCAAAATGACCATGTCAAAACTTGTAAAAAGCAGCTTTATCTTTCAGAAATACTAAGATTCCTTTTCAGAAAGTGGATCCCAATCATCACGATTGTAATACTCTATATGAGCTGCTGTTTTCTTTCAAAGAGTATCACAGTAATCTAAAATAAGCTTTATACACTTAAAAAGAAAACATGAGTAGAAAGAATGAGTCTTTACTGACTTTATCAAGAACTAATTAAAAAAGGCAAGTAAAGTAAAGTAAAGTTGTTCCCACATCCGATTTGACATTGGGGATTGCCTTGTAAGTGATACAACTTCTTGGGCCTTCGGCATATTGTGGAAGGGTGGCCTTCAAAAGGGTACTTTAAATATATTTCTCTGAGGTTCAGATTGCGGGCAGTATTGCATACAGACGTATCTCAAAGGCCACCAAAAATGACTTATGTCTGTATGGAATATTGCCCGCCACATTCAAATCATTACTGTGTGTGTGTGTGTGTGTGTGTGTGTGTGTGTGTGTGTGTGTGTGTGTGTGTGTGTGTGTGTGTGTGTGTGTGTGTGTGTGTGTGTGTGTGTGTGTGTGTGTGTGTGTGTGTGTGTGTGTGTGTGTGTGTGTGTGTGTGTGTGTGTGTGTGTGTGTGTGTGTGTGTGTGTGTGTGTGTGTGTGTGTGTGTGTGTGTGTGTGTGTGTGTGTGTGTGTGTGTGTTAATTGCAGGATTTTGGAGGGCAGCCTTTCTGTCTTGCTTATCCCTGCTCTAAATCACCATTATTGTGTAGTAGTGTCATCATACTTTAAACAGCATCTATCATTAAATAGTCTACACACCTACTTCCTCCTTTTCTTTAGCTTGCTGTTTGGCTAGCACTTCTTTGCCCTTTTTACTCTGTTTGTCAATCATTTTGTCGAGCCGAGTGGCAAACACCTGTATACTGCCCACATCATTTTTGTCTTTCAAGATGTCCCACTCTGCAGAATGGCTCTGGCTCTGATGTTGCAAACATTCCACACGGCTGGTGTATGAGGCTTCACAGAGGTAACACTTGAACGGAAGATCGGGGCTGCTGCTGCTACTGCTCTCCTGTCAGAGTGAAAATTAAGTTATGAAATATATCTGAGCTAGACCTTTTCATTTACCATTTGCAACAACCTTATGTAGTTCGTCTAATGCTTCAATGCACCTTTCCATTTACATTATTAGGTGAATAAAGCATTTATGGTACGGGTAGCCTTATCAGGAACAACGCCAAATTGTGTTTTCAGTATCTGGTCTTAAACCCAATAAAGAGTGCCCAAGTGAGGATTATGATTTCAGTGTTCTCTTTTTCTTAAATTTTCTTAAAATGTCAAATTATGACTACTTGGGCACTTGTGGAAAGACGCTGATAAAATCCAGTTTCTGGAACATTTTAATTGACATAAAAAAAGGCAAACAAGGCAGAGGTAGACCAAGAGCCGTATGCTTGGTAACACTGAACTGATGGGTGATAGGGAAAAACCAGGATAACAGTAGGTTTTTTTTAGAGCATCCGAACAGGAAAATAAATGACAACCTATAATCTCTGACGCCTTTCACTTTACGATGATGATGAAATCCAAATACTAGACTCTTGAAGAGAATTGTAAGTACATTTTCTTTAAGTAAACAAACACAAGCAAGTGGCATTTGAAAGTAAGGTCATAAACAAAAGGCGTTTTTGTAGATAACAGCACACTTTATTTACTTGGTCATGTCATAAGTGTAGACATGAGCTCTGGCTTTTGAAACCAGTTCAAGAAGAAAGTTTACCTTTGGTGATTTCAGCTGTAGTTTCCTGCTCACACTGTCTGTATCATTTTTCCATCTCTTGATTGTGTCCTCAACGAGCAGTTCTTCTCCTGGTGACAAGTTTCTCAGATGCTTCTCAATGGCTGGGGTGATGATGAAAGGAGAGCCTTCCTCCATGGCACGCCGGTGGCTGTCCTCTAGCGCCTGACGAACACTTTTGTCCAGAAACTTTTTCATTGTGTCTGTCAGAACTGTATCATCGATGCCAGGTCGATTTGTTGTGGATGGCTGAGCAGATTCTGGCTTCGGCGATATAGCATGTACACTTGATGAATTGGATGTGTTGACTGTGGCGTGTAAACCATTCTTCCCCTCAATATCATTGGTGAAATTGAAAATAGCATTTCGCTTTTTGTGTGGGTCTCGAACTGACGGAGTAGTTCCATTTGAACCCTGATTGCTGTCACTGTCTTGAGAGTAATTGTGGAACATGATTTCTTTGTCTGACAGTCCATTTCGCATCTGAAGACACAAAAGCCATATATAAAATTTAGGAAAACTATTCTTCAAATCAAATTTTTAAAATATGTTTACATCTATTAAAGTGGAGTCTAGCTGAGAGGTACTTAGTAGTGAGTCAGGAAGGTAATGGAACCCCTGAAAAATTGTAGAGAAAGCACCCACCAACCACCAGCTAAATATTGATGGCCACAGATAAAAACTTGCTAACACACAACAAATTTACATACTTTTTTACCCTGTTAATTGTGTTACTCAGAATCTATTGATAGACATATTGACAGAACAAGGGAGCAAAAATTTACTTTCACTACTTTTATTTTCTTGCTAACATGATGATTCATGTATTATTTTACTTCTTAAACTTCTCTCTACATTCACTATCCTTCTTAAGCTTTTCTCTACTTTCCCTATCTGGTACGATAGTGACAGACATGATTCACAGTTACAATGGATCTGACAGTTAGCAGGGGAGGAAAACCTGTGATCCAACAGTCACTGTGGGATGGCAATTTTTCATTCTCAGATTTCTAATATGAAAATCTGGTAAGTCACATAATCTATTTTAAAATATGAAAATTCGGAAATGAATATATCTAACATGAATAATGGGTACAGTTTGTTTTCTTTAAGCTGTAGGCCCTATAATGAAATAATTAGTTTTTTGACCCTGCTGTAAAATTCAACGGCCCAAAGTTTGTATGTTTTCTTTTTTATATTTAATGTAAGAGATTTTTAAGCCCCCTTGAAAATAACTTCGATCATTTATGAGGTTGCCTTTTGACCCTGCCTGTCAGGGCCAATCCAAGCTGGGAGAGATATACAACATCCCAGCAGAAAGACAGAGATACTGAATAACTATTTTCTCCTCACTAGAGAACCGATCTCAGGTCTCCTGCATGCGACAAACAAATGGCTTTATAACCACTCCATCCCAGATGCTGGTTAGCACATTTTTTTCCTTCCCCAACAATATATATAAGCAAGCTTTTATGTTTTACCTGGTATGGCCAAGGAAGAAACTTATTACAAATAGGACTACATTAAACATATCACGTCTCTGGTTACTTCTAGAAGCACAAGGAGTATATGTCCATGATATATCATTAACTCTAAAATGTTCCAGAGTCCCGCCCCCCCCCCCCCCCCTTCTCTAAATTAGCATGGGGGTACCTCATTCAACTCTTTGTAATTCTGGTATGAATCCATCAATCATATCATACATACCCTCATTTCATTTAGAAATGAATAGTTTCTTAATGTGGATATTTTTGTAGATAACAGCACATTTTATTTACTTGGTCATGTCATAAGTGTAGGTATAGGTGTATTTCGTCAAAAACATCACACAAAATACGATTTACAGTCACAAAGAGGGAAAAAAACTTAATTTAAGAAATATATACCTAAAAAAATTATTTCTTGAAGGTCAAACATATTGGAAACACCAGGAAAAGATTGCCAACTTCATATTCTTCAATTCTTAGTGGTAAGGTAGGTCCTGAAAGGTAGTCAACAGACCAAAAAATAGTACCGAAGGTCTGTCTGATCATGTTTTGAGAAATAGCCTAATATAACTTTTCTTACTTAATTGCACTTATGAAAGATCATTTCAATGCAACAAAAGCATTTTTTCAGTACATTGCTAGGCAGATAATGCAGTACGCCTATATTATGCTTCATAGTATTAATTTTCCCCAAAGTTTAAGGGGTAGTACATTCAAATTTCAAAGTTCCAAATTCTGCGGGGAAGGAAGAGCATATTTGTTGCCACCAGAGTCATACTTTTCACCAGCACCCATTCTTCATCAGAACTATCATCTGATATATCTAGCAATGCATCAATCTCATGTTGAGTTAGATTTGCCATTCTGACTTTTAAATTGAAGAAACCTCAAGAGCAATTAGCGAGAAACGTCAATACAGATTTCCAAGATGGCGGAACTATGTAAACAAATGTATTGAAGCGTAGGACTCCTAGAAAAAATATCAACTTCTGTGACAAATTTCGACTTAATATATAGGCTGTCCTCATTTTGTATTTTTTTGTATAGTTGTCCTCATTTTTTTTTTTTTTTGGTGCATATTTCAAAGTACATTTTCAAACTTAAGTGGAGAAAATAGTTGATTTAATTTATCTTCATTTAATTAGGCACCACACAAAACGGGAGCATGTCTGTTGATCATCGGTGTTTGAAATCCTTGGTTTGAAATCTTTGAGAGTTAATCATGTTTATTCATTCTGAGTACATGTTTTTAAATGTTGTTCTTCTGAAGAAAAAATAAGTATCAAAAGTACATTCAGATGTGCAGCCACATCAATTCAAAATGATAACTTAATGCTTTTATTCTCACCTCTGAGAGATTGAACTCTTCCTCATCTTCATAGCTAGGCCCATTAATAGGATTTCCATTGCTGTCTTCACCTTCTCCATCAGAACCTTTCTCCATGGCCTCCAGTAGGTGAGCAGGTGGCGACATGCCATTGTGGCGATCCTTGTAATGCTTGACCAAATTACCTGCAAACAGGTTTTGATTTGAAGTATTGAAAATCCTTTCCAATTTTCACATTGGTGAAATACTGACAAAAAATGGGAAAAAAGTGGAAAAAGCAATATACCAGTATAGAGTTCATTTTTATTCTTAGTGCTTTGCTTCGCCATTGACGCAAAAATCATTTGGGATGTGGGCTGCTTCAATCCTGCTTGGAGGTTTCTCAAGGTCAAGAAGTTACGGCAATCAGCATCAACAAAAAAGAAATCAAAACTATTATAAATACACTATTTAAAGCTCCACAGACACCAGATAGCTACCATGAGCTTTCCCACTAAAAACAAGTGATTATCTTCCAACTAAGAACACAACACACAAGACTGAGACAACACATGTACTGATGTTTTAAACTAGTACAATCACCAAAAGGCCAGTGTGGAGAGGCGGACCAAACTGTTGAACACATCCTACAGCACTGCAAGACACACAGGGCCCTGAGACAGGAAACGCGGTCAACCCCACTGATATTACAAGAGAATCTATACGGGCTGACAGATGAACTGAGCAGGACGGCCCAATTTATGACAGATACCAGACTTCAAGTGTGATGCGAATGAGAAGAAGAAGAACCCCAACAGCATTGGAATATCTTCTTCTCTAAAATATTCTCCTTTTACCTCCTTTCCTGCTCTCTGACAATTTTCTTTCGTCAGCTTTCGTCTCCACTTTCTGACCCCACCCCTTGTGCCCTTTCCTCAGTTTGCAAGTTGCGCACATAAAAGATCTCTTGGTGGTCCAAAATCGATAAGAGTAGGCCTCGGCCACCACCAGGGCAAAATTCAAAATTTCCTACCAGTGGTTAATATGTCCTGCACGTTCATATGACCTTGTGCAGTTGCAAGCATCGTAAATCACTTACCAATAAAAAATATATAAATAAATCCTGCCTGTCAGAGCCAACCCAAGCAGACTGGGATGCAACAATCCAGCAGACAGACTGACATACTGGATTTTCAAAAGATAACTCGAAATCAACTATCTTCTTGCAACAACATAGAGACTAGCACTACACCACAAATATCAGTATTGTAGTATCAGCAACATATTATACTCAAAAACAAAATAGATTAATTAATGAATTATATCCTTGCAAAAATTAATCTCTTAATACTCTTTCAGTCTATCATGTAAAACTAAGGCCAGTATCGAAAAATAAAACTTACTCGAGAACCCAGGAAGGAAAAGTTAAAGAAGAAAACTAAAGTGCACTTGGTGCAATGATGTGGATAAAAACAGGGAGAGCCAAACAGTCCTGGAGCCAGCTAGAGGGACTGGCCCAGAATCATGACTCCTAATCCTAGTGAGATCTTATTGGCAGGATATTATGCTTATTTAAAGGGGCTTGCCGATTGGTCCAAGGACTTGGGGGCGGATTTTCACTCAATCTGAGCATTTTTTACTTTCGATATTTTTCGATCCCTCATTCAGTCTAGATTATATTGACACTACTAGTTGCTGAGTCATTTACATTAACAGAATTCAACTTTATTGGACTATGCGTTGTGTACAAACATGTTCGATGTTAACCTTGTTTTTCTCAAAACTCACTTTTTCACAACTTTCTGCTCGTACACGACGGGTTTTTTTCTCCACCATTTTTTTTAATTTTCCAACATAGAGATTTGAAATTTGGCAAGTAGTTAAAGAAAGAGATTATACTTGTAGGGCTGGTTAGTTGTTTTACATTTTGCTTTAGAATTTTTTAACAATTATTTTTTTCATGCCAAAAATATTTTTTAAAGATCAAATTCCATATCCCAAACTTTGAGAACAATTTTGGATACTTCTATATATATCTAAGCTGCAATTTTGAGCACCTATTGATTTGTAACATTTTGCAAGTTACAGAATTTTAAAAAGTCAAAAACTATAGAAATGGTGGAGAATGAAAATGTAGAATCTACTATTTTCTACCCCTTTTCAAAATGGCAACGGCTTACCTAATCGAGTGTGCCAACAGTTGAACTTGTCTCTTACTTATTGCCTGAGACAAAAGTTGTTTCAGCTTATCTTAGTTAAAAATGCTGTCCCATAAATATTGAGCCCCCTTAATAATGTAGTCAATGTTGGGAGAAGGACATAAAAAATGAAATTAAAATCTAAACAAAATTGTCACATTGAAGAGTTTCTCTGCCGAATGAATGTAAATGTAATGAAACAGACTTTTCAAGATGTAAATCCTACTCACTTTGAGTCGAGAAAGAGCTGAAGACACACAAGTGGCATTTGTATGGCCGGTCCATTGTAGCTCTGCAGGCTGGGTCCAGCATATTGACATTGTGCTTTCTGATCAGATGTCTCTCTCTATTTGATTTGGTAGAAAATGTCACAGGGCATCGGGGACACTTGAAAGGTTTTTGTCCTGTTGGAAAGGACCTTCAATTTGTAATGTTGCTTGTAGCTTGCAGCTTGATAATTTACTCAATACTTCAAAAGAATATTAAATACTGAGAGAGTTTATATTAGGGGCATGTAAGCAAGACATTGCAGCTCATGAAATGACAAAACAAATTTGAACAGAAGGTTTTTGTTCGATATTTTATTCTACGAGCTCTTCTTTATACTTTATCCTTCTATTACCACTCAATTACAACTGCACAACATAATGTAATATAGATCTACTCGCAGATTCAAGCATTTTCCGTTGCTTAGTGCATTCTATACTAGGATGAAAATGAATTAAAGAAGTTATCCTGAATCTGTTAAAAGACACACAAAGAGCATGTGCAGCATATTTTTTATTTGCATAAATTATGCACAGATAAGAAATAGCATGGTCGGTATCAAAGGCTCAGTAAGCAGCTTCACAGTACAAGCTCAGCATACCCGTGTGTGTAAGAAGATGTCTATTCAGGGAGCTCAGCCAAGGGAAACACCGTGGACAGTATGGGCAAGTGAACTTGTGTGGAGAATCGGCATAAGAATTCCTCTTCTTTTTGGCAGGAGAGTTCACATTTTCTCTTGAAACTTTTTCAATCAGTTCAGCAATGGCTTGTTCACTCATGTTACTAGGATCCTCCATCTGTGCATGTATGAGTTGTGTTTGAGACACACAAAGCAAAAAAAACAAACAACAACAGTGGTAAACTGTGGTTTGAGCCGTTCTCAACAGGAAGAGGGTATACAGTAGTCTCCACCTAAGATCCCACCGCTTACGATCTCGGTTCGCTTAAGATCCCGCTGTTTTAAGAAAACAGAATTTTTACTATACAAAAGTCACCCCTAAGGTCCCGCTCTGATTCACTCTGAAGGTCTACATTCGGCTAAGATCCCACATTTCAGATCATAATTTGCGGAAAAAAACCCGGGCGGGACAGCCGATCAATCAAGAGTTAAAATTTGAGATCAATAAACTGTCCGTCGCGTCAAAGATCAGCTACTATCGTGAATGTGATCACATACACGTAGTAAAACTCGATGAAGTGATACAATGTTTGCCCCAGACGGGATCACACCGGGGTGTGAACTGACCGACACGTTTGTTTTCCCCGAACATCGCATTCACACCTGAGCTATCCCCCTAAACTTACATCACTCCCTGGGTGGGTAGGGCCTACACGTTTGCTCCAGGCGGGATCACATTGAACTGTGAACTCTTCCCTGACCATTGCAGAAGTTGTCTCTACTCCCTAATTTACGAGACAGACTGAATTTTAATTGATGTGTTCACAACGCAATGGCGTGTAACGACAAAGGCGGTTGGGGGAGATGGAAAGCTATAAATTTTTTACAGGTAAGGGGGAGGGGAGGGGCAACTTGATAAGCATAGATCTTGAGCCTCATGATAGGATAATAAGTGAAAATGGCACGCCTCATCCCACTATGCGCTGTGATAGGTCATCAAGGTTAACCTCTCTTTGCTCGCCATACGTCATAAACCCACCCACCGGTCACGTCAGTTCATTTTAGAGTGGAGGGAGACCATTTTTACCGATTGTGATCCTTAGCATGGGTCACCATAGATTCTTCCCTGAGTTCGTCGGTTAAGATCCCGATTCGCCTAAGATCCCGCTTTTCCTTGCTCCCGAGCACCGGGATCTTAGGCGGAGACTACTGTACTTTTAATGACCCAAAATAAATCAGACAACAATAAAATTAGGTTCTTATCAATGAAAGCACTTAATAACTCCCCATTCCAACAACCCTCCTCCCACCTCACCCCCACACCCCCTTCCATTAAAAAAAAAAGAAATTTAAAAAGAAATTTAAAAAGGAAAAACTAACTAATAGAAATCATCATCGTCATCATCATCATAAATCAAATATTTAAATTTAAATGAAACATTTCTTTAAAAATTTGAAGTTTTTCAAATTTACGTAATCTAAACTCAATCTTAGTTGCAGAGAAGAGATAGGCCTACATTCTACTACACAACACAAGTTTGAGTGATTTGTTTGCAATATGATCAAGGCTTACTATTTTTTTCGTTTTATGTACCAAAGGAACTAAACAGAAATGACTGCAATGGATCCACTAGATCATAAACTTATTATATATTGAAAAAGTTCCTTTAACATTGGCATGCAGAAAACATACAGTAATATACTAGGGCAATGCTAAAAATACATTGTAAATATATAAAAGAAAATCCTGCAAGAAGACTGATCAAAAATAGAATAGGTCTATTATCTTTTCTTATATTACAGGTTTCAGGTTCCAATACCTTTTGTTCAAGACAAGCTTGAAATGTTTTCTCATGTACTGATGCTGGTATATTTCCATCTATGAGAGCCATGTTGATAGTTATAGGCATGTCTTCTGCTAGCAAATTTTTATCTTTATCAGCTGAGTCTTTATCGGAAGAGTCACTCAGTTTCGCAGTCAGTTGACCAGCCAGTAAAGACTGTGATTGTGAAAACATATTTTCAAGGCTTTGATTTGATTCATCCCCACTCTGCACAGATTCAGATCTGTTGATAAAAAGGTACCAAAATATTTTAATGAAATATACATGGTTAAAAAACTGGAAAAGAAAAACAAAGAAAGATTTTAACAGAGAAGGCCAAAACAATTCAAATGTTCAAAGATTTGACACACAGCAATACGTTTTATTAAAAGCTTTAAAGACAGTGAGCTCCACAGAAATGTGCTGCAAAATGAAATAGATTCTATAGACCAAAAAAAAAAAGTAAAATGGAAAGACAGAATGGGGGGGAAAAAAGACAATTAATTGGCAAAGTTTCTTCCTATCTTAAATTTATTACACATGCAACTATGTTTTAGACAGTAGAAAAAAAAACTAAATTAAAAATTCACAAAATAGTTTATTTCTTAAAATGGTCAGATATGTGGCCTAACTCACTTGTTATCTTGTTCATCTTCTGTCTCAGGTATGATTAGGTAATCTTGGAAATTCTGAGCGTCAGTGGCATCCAAAATCTTGTTCACTGATGCAAGTTCACAGCTTGAATCACTCTCACCTTGAATGCACAAGAAATAACGTAAATGAAATCTCTATTTGAAAAAAAAAAATCTATAGATAAAAACTTATGTCCAGTTTGTCACCAGTCTCCGGTGAAATTATGTGAGACATTCATGAACCAAAAAAGGCGCATAGAGCAGACAAAGTTGTAAAAGATTTTTTATACAGTTAGAAGAAAGTTCCTTATTCCCTTTGGATGGTTGTTTTCTGTCTAAGATGGAAAATACTTTGCCTGCTCAGCCCTGATTCGAAACAAAATTATCAAGTTTGGCTCCATCAGCTCTAAACCTTTACACCATGCCACCACGCCAGAAAGGGGGATTGGGGTGTGACTTAAATGTTACCCGATCCATGTGAGCCCTGAGCGGTGCAGAAGGTCAGGGTGGTGTGGGTGTGAAATCTCACCAGTCCCTGTGAAAGTGCTTGAATGGTGCTCCAGCCTGGAAACTTTCGTGGACTGCCAGAGGCCAAATTAATTTGACCAATGCCTAGTTTTAGTTTCAGTAAGAGTTTTACGGCACTTGCAACACAATAAGGTCATATAAGTGCCGCATATTAAAGGTGTTACAAGGGAGTAACAAACACAAAAAAGAAGGAGGGGAGATAAAAACAATAGATGTTTGATAGGAAAGAAGAAGCAAACCACACCAGAGCACCCGCCAACCACCCACTAAAGCCTTGTTTGACAATTTTTATCTATTCTTTTTATTTTTGGCTGAACACTTTCTATATCCATTTGAAAATTATGCATATATATATATGAGTGGACTTAATTGAAAAACTTTGATTAATGACAAAAAATGTAATTTTGCAGTTTCCAAGGACTCTCAAGCCTAGGAAGTAACTTTAGCGGTCATTTTCTACTTAATTTTATCCTTGAAACCAGGCAACCCCAACCTCCTTCAATCGCAAATATCGCAATTTCTATTCAAGATTGAAAGGCATTTTTTTCATCAAAAGCACGACAAATGTTTATATAACGTTTTCAAAACAAATTCGCCACCACCTTGAGCAAGAATTTTCAAGAAATTTGATCTAGGTTTGCACAGGGAAGAAATATGCGATAAAATTGCTCTCCAAAAAGACGAAAGGGTGTGGATGGGCAAAGCTTCGCTTTGTTTATACGTTCTAGATATTCGTACGCACTACTCACCACCATTAGAGGGGGGAGAGAAAGACCTAAATTTTGGTATGTATATTATATTGTGATTGGGTCGACTTTTTGAATGGATAAGAGAATTGGGATTATGCAATATACCTCGTCTTATAAAACATCTTTAAAAATGTATTTTTAAAATACAAGAAACTCAAGTCCTTGTAAATATCGATATATTAATGGCTTAAGAATCCATTTTTAATGGAACATAGTTTTTGGCAAAAATTCTATTTTTGAAACCTAATATCTGGGTTTTAAAAAATGCATCTTTTAGTACCTTTCGCCAGGCACGCTCACCTGTATATATATGTATGTACAACATGGTATAAATAGTATAGTATATCATATTACAGTATAACATAAGATAGCTCGAATTCGTCGGGACCGGCCTCGGTAGTTTGAATGATCCGTAGTTCAAGTATCTAACAAAGATAAAGTGGGAAAAAAAACGGGACAGCAGGCACAATTCGATGGATGCGTGATTTCAAGTATTCTGTGTCGACCTATCCATGTCATACTGTATATGTAATATCACAGTTGTCTCATCATAGGAGCTTGATAGTCGAGAGACAGAAAACCCAGGTTCTTTGGTGGATTTTCAAAGGGCCCAACTCAGCTTCCATCTGTTGGCTTCCTTTAAGTTCATTCTTTGTTGAAACAATGACCCGTAGGTGATAAAGACACTGACACATGAGGGAAGATAGAAAGCTTTGTTTCAAGTGGCTTGGCTGACCAAGATAACAATTAGGTAGATCTTCAACTAAACCTGCACACTATCATGTAATATTTGAATATATTATATATACCTATACAATAAACTCACAAGAACTTCCTTGACTTGACTTTGGTTTTTTCTTTTTTATGTCTATCAGATCCACAATGGGCTTGTTCACTAGCTTGATGTCTGACTTTTCAGTTTCCTTTGATGAACGATCTGAAAAAAAAAGTAAATACTATTATGAGAACCCATCTCACTCTTCTCCTTGGACATATACTGCATCTGCTATTTTTACAAAAATTGCTTCACCTGTTCAGAACAACAGATAACAACTGATTATAACAAATAACAACTGATAACAGCAAATAAAAACTGATAACACCGAAATACTTTGATTCCAGCCTCAAAAATCAATATTCATATAGTCAACCAAGCCTCTACTTTACGTGCACAACTACAAGCAATTACCAGAAGTAGAATATTATTCTTTAGCGATGACCGGAGTTGCGTCCCTTTTTTGGTTTACATTCAAATTGAACGTAAAATCGAAAGTAACAATTTATCGAAAAAACCCAACTAAATGAGGATGTTTGTGTTGATATTTGTCGTTATTTTGTTGTTATCAGTTGTTATTTGTTATTTCGACAAAGATAAATACCGTCTATTGTTTGCTTGATTAAATTTGACTTTGTAAAATATAGCTTAAAGATGATTCCCATATTTTTCATATAGTTCATGCACTTTTATTAATTTTTAAAAAGCAGTCGAAGGCGTATTAGTTGTTGTATAATCATTTCAATCTTTGTAGAGAGCCATGTAATTAATGTCACAAGGTTTTTTCAGCCGACTTCTTCATGTATCACAGTTCATCATTCTTTGGTGGGTATTTTTTTAGTAGACGTTTTACAGCGCTTGCAACTGAATAAGGTCATATGAGCGCCAGAAAAATAGTGTTACAAGAGAGTAAGTAACATAAAAAAAATAAGAAGGGGAGATAAGGACGATAGACGTTTGATAGGAAATAAGAAGCAAACCACACCAGAGCACCCACCTACCACCCACATTCTTTGTTTGCTGTAATATTTTCATACCTTTTCTCTTATTATTCCTCTGCTGATCCACACTCTCTTCAAGTTTTAGAGAGTCAGTCTTGGAGTCTGTGACCTCCATTGACTTGTAGTTTGGTGCTTGACCAGAGACATTTGGGGTAGCTGTTGACATTTTCCCTGTTGGAGGGACAAAGCTTGGGTGAAGTCTTGACATGAGAGCCAGCCTTTGGGTGAGTGCAGGGTGTGCCTGGAAGGACATAGACTGAGGTCCTGCAGCAGACAGCAAACTGGGGTACCCGGCCACCATTGGGAGAAATTGAGGGAACGCTGGATGCTTGGGGGTGTGAGGGGCTGGACTAAGACTTGAAGCATCATCTGGTGGAAGGTGGAGGGATGAGGGGATGCTGGTATTGCTACTGCCGGATGACATGGTGAACAGGGGGGACAACTGATTGTTGTTGCCATCACTCTCGCGAAGCTGTGAGTTGTGAGTGGGCAAAGTGTCAGTTTTTACCTTGATGGAACTAGTACTACCAGAGAAGGAAGCTGTACTCTTTTCCTTGTTGAAACCTTGGAGGCCATAGGGCTCCTGAGGATTGAGGAAATGGTCTGGATCAGCTTAAACTTCATACTTTATATCAACAAATAAATACAATGTCAGCTGAGTCAAAGTGTCATGCTTTCTTTAAAAACTCCGAGAGTAGCAGAGTAATTTGAAGAGAATATAAATGCCAGGTGCCTTGAACATCTTGTTCCACGTGGAAAGGTAATGGGGACAGACCAGAACAAAAATTTTTAGTTTTTGAGAGCATCCAAGAAGAGAAATAATGACAAAGAATGGTTGCTGATGTCCGTTTCATATCAGGCACTTTATGCAGATGAATAGGGTGAAATGTTAAACGTTTTTGAAAGGGCCATAGAGTCTGAAGTCTTACTCTACAGTCCAAAATATTACCTTTCAAAAATTTTTTTTTTAAAAGCAGGATAAGAGATTGTATTACCGGACCCTTTTTCACTTAGACCCTTGGATATAAATTATTGCTCTATCTTTTGAACACAACATTGTGCCTATTTTGACAAGCTTTCTTTTTTAAGTGCCAGATCTGAAGAAATATTCGATTAATTATGATTCACCACTCATTTTTCTGCCCAAGGTGCTTTCAAAATCATATACCAGCTCTAAATAGGCCTAATAACATCCTTGTCAAAGAAGTCAAAATTGAGAAAAGAAGCACCTGTCTGTATGGGGGCGGGGGGTTGGGGGCAAGTGACACTTGCTACTCCTTCTTTCCAGACCATCTATGTTATTCGAAGGCAATTTTGTCTACGGTAATTACTTCTCTACAATTTCTTTATAGTATGAACAGTAGGCCTACTTGGGAGCAGTATCAAGTCAACAATAAGGAATATATATATTTTCTGCTCAAAATAAAATCCACAAATCTTTTTAAGCGAATAGCATTCTCATTGTCAAGTTGTCTTCAGTGCCGCATAGATCTAAAAGAATCAAGGCTGAATTTATAACATCTCTAGTTGCCAAATGTTCCTCCTGCTGCTCTTCACATATCCATTGTGTAGTCCTTGAACCTGAGGTATTTAATTACAAGAACTGAAAGGCAAAGTTCAATACAGATGCCTTTTATTGCTTCTCATAGTTATTCTCACTTCAAGCAATTTCAATTTCTTGGACTCCAGGTTTGACACTTTGCTTGTTCTCCCACAAGTAATGATGTATGAAAGTAAGTACCAAGAGCATCAATCTGTACGTTGTGGAAATGAGGAATCATCCATGTCTATATAGTTCTTCAGATCAATTTACTCTTCAATTGTACTCTCAGAATGGAATACGAAAACAATTTATTGACTGAGAAAAAGACTTTAATAAGTTGCTCAAACAAATATAATATATATATTATTCTTTTCCTAGATTATGAAAAATAACTTTAGAAAGACAAACGTCTATTATATTTTGCAAATCATAATGTCATTTTCAATTTCGAAATAAAACATACATATTCATTGACATCTGTCCTAAAACAATGCTAACCTTCTCTTTCACGAGTTCTAGGTTGAAGTGCATTTGAAAGGGAGGAGGACATCGCACATAGCAAATTCAATAGGTGAAAATGCAGTCAATACAGTTTCTATTCACCAATTTTGCTTGTTAGTGTCAAATTTTGAGGAGAGCATTGTTTGAGCATTGCTTCTTTATTTCCATAAGAAGATTCATTTTTTAGAATTAGAAAACTTCCTGTTTATATTTAGCGACTTTTGACACTGGATCAATCCATACAAACTTTGTATGCAAAAAAAGGTTATAAAAAATTAATTTGCTTTCATACTGTCACAACTTAACTGTGAAAAGCTTTAGGCAATAATCACACGTACCAAATTAAAACGCATTTAAGTTCTATACTTGATAATTTAATGAAACACATAAATTGTTGCATTTTTAATGAGATAGAAAGGCAGTTTTTTATATAATAAAAATACATGATGAATACACAGAGATATTTGAACGATGACATCAGCTACCAAAGCAGCATGACTTACAACAACATCCGCAACAATTGCACAAAAGATATGAAAACAGTTTTTGCTGTAATTGAACTGCAAGCTTTCTGTTTTAATCCATAACAAAAAAAGACCACAAAAAACCAAAAAAAACCAATCAAATACCGTACAAATTAATCAACCAAAAAAAAGACAACACAAAGGTAACAACAACAGCAACAACAACAACAACAGCAGAAGCAGTAGCAGCAGCAGCAGCAGCAACAACAGCAACAACAAAAAAGGAAATGGTCACACTAAAAGGAAATTGCAGTAAAAGGACTCCATAACCATTACTCTTCTACATCTGCAATTTTTCTACACGTTAAGGCTGTCTTCTATGCTTAGCCAACCACTTCGCAAATTTTGATATCACATCTACAGCAGCTACCTGATGAAGGAAGCTGTGGCTGACACCACAATCTTGGACTTTATCAAGTGTTGCACTGGCAGAAGGCTTTTGTGAGGAGACAGACAGGTCCATTGGCTGGTCTTCTGTTGAAGTGTCCACTGCAGGAGAAGTGGCTCCACCGGACATTTGAGCTAATAAACTGGGAGCTTCGACCGTTAACCCTGGTTTCACTTGCTTGCTGAAGTCAAGAGGCCCTTCAGTGTCAACATCTTGCGGACTGAAATCTGAGGTTAAGGTGTTAGACTTGAACTTTTTCACAACAGCGCTGTCACCCCTGTGTGGGGCGATACTGATCTCCTTCAACCAGCTCGGTTTCTCTTTTGGCTTGTCTGCAGATGCAGGTGTAGAGTGAGCGGGTGGAGGGGCAGAGAGCTTATTATTTGGATCCAACAGTGAAGAGGACATGACCTCTGCTCTGCAAATAAATCTCTCACAAATGGGACCTCTCACTTCAGGGTGGTGTCTGTTCATGTGCTCCATAACACTGTCTTTGGTAGAAAAGGGTGCCTGTTGCGTTGAAATAGAATGTTAATTTTAATATTCAAGTTTTTGACATTGTCTTAATATGAGGTCAAAAAGAAGACAAACACATGATATTAAAGGATATAAGATGCAAAAGAAAGCAAAATTATAGACAATATTAATGTTTTAGAACTAGAGGAAACATGAAAGCAGTAATATCCTTTAATCATCGACAAAGCATAAAGATCAAAGAGGCAAAGCAAGCATTCAAAAGTTAACCACAATATCACAGAAGCAAAAATGTGTATTACCTTCCATGGAAAAAGAGATAGAAAAAGGACATCAGAAAGTAAAGAACAGTCTGCCTTTAAAGCAATCACAATGACACAGCACATCCTTCAGTTACAGGTAATCATTGTTACAATAGTGATTTAGGGATACTGTGAACAAAACATCTTGATACGTTCCTCTGAACTAATTATTTCTTTGAACAGCACTACATAAACTACCATTCTTTGGGTCTTTGGTTTGATTGTTATCAAGTTCATAGGCATGGTGTATCTGTTCAAGTGTGAGGGTGTGTGTGTGCGTGTTTGTGTGTGTGCGTGTGTGTGTGTGTGTGTGTGTGTGTGTGCGTGCTTGTGTGTGTGTATTAATGTGTGCATTTGCTTTTGTGTGTGTGTGTGCAAGTGCCTGCGTGTGGGGTTGTGTGTGTTCGTGCATGCATCTGTGTGTTTTTGTGAGTGTGCGTGTGTGTATCTGCATGTGAGCATGTGTGTGTATGTGCATGTATGTGCATATGCGTGTGCGTATGCATGCGAGTGTATGTGCATCCACAAAAAAAAGAATATCAAACCCTTTTTATCTCACTGTAGCCTCCGAACTCGTTCTTTCTTTGTAAAAACATTTTGCTTCAAACAAGACCATATATGCTCACATGGAAATCCGTCCGTCTGTCTGTCTGTCTGTCTGTCTGTCTGTCTGTCTGTCTGTCTGTCTGTCTGTCTGCCTGCCTGCCTGCCTCTCTGTTATTCTTTCTTTCTGTCCTTTTGTCTTTCTGTCTTTCTTTCTTTCTTTCTGTTTTTCCTTTCTCGTTTTTTCTTTCTTTCCCTTTCTCTTTCTATTGCCTTTTCTCTCTGTAGGTATCTGTGTCTGTGTTGTGTTTATCTCACTATTTACACAGCCTATCAGTCCATCTCTCTCTACCCCTCTTTCTTTCTTTCACTCTCCTATCTCTTTCTCACTCTTTTATTTACACACACATACGCTCGCACACGCACAGGAACACGCACACATACACGTACATGTACACGAACACGCACATGTACACGAACACGCACATGTACACGCACATGTACACGCACACCCACGCGCCCCCACCCCCAACACACACACACACAAACACACACATACATGCACGATTGCTTGTCTTATTACTTTCTGCCTATCAGTCCATCTCTCTCTACCTCTCTATTTCTTTCTTTCTTTCCTTCTTTCTTTCTTTCTCACTCTTTAAAACACACACACACACACACACACACACACACACGCATGCATGCATGCATGCAAAAACTACTGATCTCCAAAATCTTGAATGCCCTTTCAGGTCACAAATTTCTACACTCTGAGAAATCAAGGAAAGTTATACATATACGTACATCACATTTTTTACAAATGAATCCCATTCTGCAGTCAGGAGCATTTTGCAAATGTTGCCGAAGGCCTTTAGAGTTGACACAATCCAAACCACAGCTTTTGCATACAGTCTCGTGAAAGCTTTGGGGAGTGGGAGAGTCACTTGGGGACAGACTCCGACTGGCAATGACGTACTTGTTAGATGTGAGATACTCATGTAGCTGGTCTTTGTGCAGACCATGTCTTTGTCTGTGGGAAAATTTGAAAGAAAAATAATAGTAGGAAGGATCTTTTACTGTGATAGTCATACCTAAAAGCTTAAAAATTGTAATTGCCCTGCTACTGTTGAATATTAAAAATTTCCCATGGCTCAATGTGAACCTGCAAATTATTCTTTAAGTAAACGTTTTACAGCACTTGCAATACAATTAGTTTGTATAAGTGCTGAAGATTAGAGATGTTACAAGAAAGTAACGAACACAAAAACAAAGGAGGAAAGATAAGGAGGATAGACGTTTGAAAGGAAAGAAGGAGCAGCTAGATGATGTTAGAGCACCTGCCAACCATCCATATTTACACATTAATATGTGCTGCCAAATTGTACGAGATGACATAAAAAAATGGCATCAGGTATTCCTGGTTTCATGTTCATACATACTTGCAAAGCTCATCCTTAAGATGGGAAAAGAAAGAAACTCTCTGCCAGCACCTTTTTCAAAATAGTCAGTTATGCTACAGTCAAAACTTTTTTTAAAATGCTAAAAGCAAAGTTATTCTTTCAGCCCATAATATACGTAAATACTCTATACTCTATGTTCAAAATAAACAGTTAGCTAAACTCTGCTGACCTAACTTTGAATCAGCTATTTCAGTATATCTGGTTTACAATCTGAAATATTTACTTTTTTTGTCTGTGACAACCTATGTTAGAAACTCTGTAGGTGAGTATAATGTTATGATGTCATCCTTGCAAGTCCAAAATATTTGGAATATGAGATAAAATGCATGGAACGTATATGAAATTTTTATTTTTCTAATTTGGTGAAGCTAAACTGAAGATGATTTTGATTTGAAATTTCAGATCTGTGAAAACGTATAGTAAAATATCTTACTGTAAGTTAATTTGTTGCAGATTCAGTCCATCTTATTAAAACTTTAAACTCATAAAAGGGTATTTTATTTGACTGCTGGATAGCATCACTCAGTAGCTCAGAAAGTACAGTATAAATCTATAATTTTACCTAAGATGTCGTTCACAGTTCGCTTTGGTGGTAAAGGAGTACTCGCAAATTTTGCACTTGTACGGCCTTTCTCCGCTATGTGTTCGCATGTGACGCTGCAGCGTGCTCTTATCTGTACTGGTGTAGTTGCAGATCAAGCATTCATACTGTGACTTATGGGTAAGCTGGTGAGCTGTAGACAAATCATAATATGTATTGAAAAAGTTTGATTAAATAAAAAAATTTAAAAAATCTACTCATTTCGAAATCACTCACGGAAAGATAAGATAAAACTAGGGGAAAAAAATTCATAATTGAAAATTCGACATTTAGCGTATCAAATCCTTTCTGATAACAATGGAATGTCTTCAAAGCATCAGTACTCAAATATATTTTAGATGTTTACTTATTGACAGACAGTATTTTAACTTCTCTTGAACTCTTGAATGTAAACAACTCAATATACAAAGAAACTTTATAGACTAATCAAATTACAGTAGTGAAGAGGGCAAGTACAACGCCCATGACATTTGGTAACATCCACAAAACTTTCACATGAAGGCACAAATAGGCATTAATTATTTAGCATTTCTCTTTGTATAGTTGACATGCACAACAAGAAAAACATCACACCCATGCTAGATTTGGTGCATTCTCATCTCCTGTCTTTTTCTGCTCCTCTAAAAGGACTGCATAAGCTGCGAGGTCATATTAAAAGTGCATCAATCCCCACATCCAAATGCCATGCTACTAAATTTATGTTTTAATTGAAACCATTATGCTTTGTGTGCTTTTTCCTACAAATGATGCTTTCATCATGCTTCATGCCGTATGATCCACAAGTAAGAAGAGGAATCAAATAAAACATCACATTGGCATATTATCTGAGGAGTTCATGAGCTAGTTCTCAAACAAAAAAGCAAATAAAAAAAACAGTCTGAGATAGCCACTCTTAGACAAAGACACCCAGGAAGTCAACACTGAAACTGATAACATCTGAAACATGTCAGAATGTAATAAGAGTGTAATCTCCTACACAAAACTCAAAAGTAACAAATGACACAAAAGCACAGAAACTTCTACACAGCAACAAACGTCAGGAAACAGCTTACCGTTTGAACAGTTCTGAGTATGCATAGAGATGAAAAAGGAATATACATGTCAATCATACTATAATGATAAAGTACTGAATACAATTCTCAATTCAGTTAACAGTAGATCGAAAAACAATTTCTTTCACAGTTATATGCACTAAAATTGACAAAACTGCATTAAACAAGAGCAGCTGACCTTTCATACTAAATAATAGGTCTCTATTATCTTCAATCATGTTTATAACTGTTCTTTTGGATTTGTTTGAAGCATCTGTACCACTATATTGAAATATTTTCACAGATTTGACACAGTAAAATCAAAATTAGCTTTGATTTAGCCCAAACCAAATAGAACAATAAAAAGCATTCACTCCATGCTTTTCATCTCACCTTCTAAATCTTTTGGACTTGCAAGGATGACATCACAGTGTTTACAGGGAAACACAGGTGGATGGACAACAGCCCGTGCCACAACTGAGGACTCAAAAATCGTAGTTTGTGAGTCTGTCTGTCCTGACAAATCATCCGACTCTGAACTTGACCTCACAGGGACAGACGTGGGACGGTCAGACTGCTTGGTTTGGTGGATCAAAAGGGGGAAACCTTTGGTCTCTGGCACACGAACAGCTGACTTGGATGAGGGTAGGAAAAAGTTTGTCAACCTCAGCTTTGAGTCAGTAGCACTTTCTTCCTTCTTTATGGCTGTAACACCAGGAGAGGCGCATGGTTCACTCTCTTCTTCTTTGCAATTGTCAAAGTCCATTCTGTCCTCAGCATCTGACATAGCATAATCATCATTATCATTGACACTCAGATCAATGCTTTCATCATCTTCTGTCTTTATGGAGTGTTTTTGGCCAATTTCTTCAGGGGAGTCCTTAGAAATAAGACCAAATTGGGCCAGAAAATAATTTTGAGGCATGGCTTCCTCTTCTGATTCATGCTTAGACAAATATTCATCAAATTTAATATCGGACACATGTTTCAGCATATGCTCTTGCAGTCTCAGAGAATCTGAGAAGTGACAGTTACACTTTGGACAAGTTGTATACTCCTCAGGCAGATGTGAAGCCTCATGCAGATCTCTGGCGCCTTCAACAGGGAAGCCTTTGCCACACTCCTGGCATTTAAAAACAGGTTCACTTTCACTTTTCAAAATGGTTTTGCTCTCACAGAATGCTTTGGCAATCAGCGGAAACTTTTTTGTTGTGAAACTAGCAAAGCCTAACTCTTGGAAACCTGATTTTATGGAGTCATTGTCTGTGTTATTGTTGCTATTATTATCATTATTATTGTTGTTGTTGTTGCTACTATTGTCTCCATCTGCTGTTTCTGAGGATGAGCCCGTTTTGGGAGGCGTGTCAAGGTCAGCTAGCTCTTCATCTGGCATATGGTGAGTCAAGGTATGCAAGAGAAGACTTTCTTCAGATTTGGCAACAACTTGGCAAGTCTATGGAAGAGAGAAGAAAAACAATTATTATTAAATTACAGCAATACAACTACAATATACATACAACACTTAGAACAGAATATGGATAGAATATCATTTCTACTGCAAAACAAATCAAGTTAATACAGGAAAAAGCAGTGTACATTCTTATATATGTGTTGTATGGCATTAATGTAAATCTGTTTACACTAACAGTACTACTACAATAACCACATGAAGTAATACATGTAATATATAACACCATATCAGAGTTTTTTGTTCTCATTTTGAAATTTATCAGTGACGAAAAAAAAAGGAATGTTCTTCAACAGAATAAAAAAGAAGGTTGCCCACCTCTTGACTCAACGGAGCAGAGGAAGATAGGACCGTTACAACTGATATATCCAGAAATAGATATATCCAGAAAACCAAGCATATGTTTGTTTATTACGCAGTTGAATGACTTACTTGTCTTTAAAGAAAAAAAACAATGACGAAAACAACAACAAAAACAGTCAACTAACTAAAATCACCCTCACATGCAAAATAAAACAGATGGAAGCAGCAGACAAACCAAGCTTGCCACATTTTAATAACCAGATGGTGTCATTTGTATGGGATTGCGCACAAAGGAAAAAAAGAAAACAAAAGGAAATCACAACAGGGAGCCCCATTCCCTCCATTCATATCACACGATGCAGATGGCCTTGTTTTGAACCTCCAATGTACTGTTCAAGAAATTAGATTGTCTTAGAAGAATTTTAAAGGTTTTATATTTGAAAAATTCTGCTTCCTGAATAACCTTGCAAGGTTAAAAGGAAAGTTAAAGTTAACCCACACAGTTGCCCATTATTGTCTCATCAAATCCTAATTACAAAATCATAGCTCACCTTGCAAGCATTGCCACTTTCTGCCTCCAGCTGTGTGTCTACAATCACATGACTTTCCATGTGAGACTCCAGAGCAAACTCACTCGAAAACTCAGCTTTGCACACAGTGCATGTGGATGGCTTGGACGATCTCAGGTCTGGGCTTGGGGGCCTCATGGGGGCCATCATTTGCTGACTTATCCGGGCTCTTTTTGCGAAGATCTCACCAGTCACAGGGTCCATCATTCTCTGGAAAAGATGAGGAGAGGGAGAGGATATCACATTAAAATCGGTTGAAACCAAGACAGCTAATAGCAGAATCATGCCCACAGCCTTCGATGTGAGGGGCCCCGCACGTGTGCAGAGCAAGGCTCATGATTTAAATTTAATGTCTAGTTGACATAGAAGGTTACAGAATCACAAAGTCAATTCTGAGTTTCATAATCTTTCAACATTCATTGGATATATCAAAGGTAAGATCAACTAACACCTATAGAGTTTGAAAAGACAATCAAATGAACTAAACCGGGGCCCCAGTTCTTACCATGCAGCCTGAAACAGCTAATCAGATCAATTTGGAAAATATATTACAAAAGATTCCAGTAGATAACTGTAAACTGTATATACATTTTTTAACAATTTCTACAATGTATTAATTTACAAAGATCTGGAGAAGGTTTTTAGACACACCAAATCAACAAAACCGAGAATATCAATTCCTGTGAGTGGGAAAAAATATAACAAGAAAACGCACTCACAGGCATGAATGGAAGAACTCTGGTTGGGTCAGAAAACATCTGATGAAATGGGAAAGCTGGATGGTGTGGGGCGGTGAACGGGAACATGTAGCCAGCCATTCCAGCCATTCCCATTGCTTTGAGCTTATTCACGTCATCTGTATAAGATAATATGAATATTAAAGACTAAGGTAATACAATGAAACAATTGGAACAATTGAATGATGCAGTTCTTTTCGCAAAACAAATCTGCCTCACACCATATGACATTTTCATGTATGTTTACTATCTCTAGTCTTTTTCATCCTCCTTCCTCCTCCTCCTCCTGAGAAAAAGAGAGAGAGAGAGAGAGAGAGAGAGAGAGAG